AAGTAGCTCGGTGTGGTCTCTCTGCAGATATAACTTACATCGGGACAAACTTATATAGCTTACATCACAAACGGTGTAGAATATAGAGAGCGGAGTAGAGAATAAATCGCGAGATTGACGAAAAATACTGGGAGAGATGTTGTTGCTGTTGTTTGAAGACACATCTACGTCAACACTAAGCATTTCTTTGTTACACTTTTTTGTTAGGAACCACCGTAATGCGAATGCTTTCCTACACACCGCCTGTCTGTATTGAACTTATTATCTTCGTTTTTTGATTGGATCTGCGGAGATTAACTAAAAAATATTTCTTTTCATTTTACGATTATAATTTTTAAGTCTTTAAGATTTCCAGCAATGGGAAGGCAAGACTAACTTAGAATGAAATCTTCGTTACGTTTAACAGTAAAGGAGGAAGCACAACGCTACTACGAAAATGTACAAGTTTATTTTATTGGAAATTTATAACAATTCTATAAATATAATAACCTAAAAGTAGCAATAACAGCAAACAACACACATTAGAATTATATGCCACCAACGATGGATGGGAGACATATTCATTTTGACAAAACATGTGCAACGTCCCGCAGCATATATATATTCTTGATCGGCATCAAATTCTTAAACGGCTTAAGCGTATCCGTCTGTCCGTCTGTGTAATGTCTGTTGCAAAAATCCTCTTGGCCGCAAAAATGAAGCTACTCGATCTCAACCTTAGCAAAAACAAACGCAGAATCAAACCTCAAAAATTCCACAAAGCGTGTCATTATTTGGTCAGTTTCAAATTCGGAATGCACCTAAACTTATCCGTCCGCGCCTATATCGTCCGGTCTGTCCATCTGTCCGCGTGCCCAACTGTGCTGCATCTGTAATTCGCACTCTCCCGCCCACAAAGAAGAAAAGGAAAGGTTTAAAAATGGTCCAAACAGGTCAAAGAACACGCTTATACACCCAAACCCGAGAATGTCTTTGCCTACCATATCTTTAGCCCATCGATCTTAAATTACAACAGATACGTCATACAAAAATTCCACAAAACTATTTTACAAGGATAGAAAAAAGCAGCCACGCCTATCTAATGTTATGGGGTATGCAAATTTAATTTTTTTTTCCCATCTTCTATATGATAACGTAAATGGGCACAAAGGATTCGGTTGCAACCAAATACAATTTTCCTACATGTTTAAGATTATTTTGTAACCTAACATAAGAATGATAAGAAGTGTCATTTATCAACTTTCATCCCTTACAGGATGCGAGTTCAAAGTTGAATTGCTTAGCTAGATGAGTAAATCAGACGGGTTCGGATGATTTAGAAGAAAAATTCCAAAAATTTGATAAATGACGTAATGATTAACTGTGTTTTTAAGAAACCATTATACTATAAACAAAAAAAAGGGCATTTGCCTTCCTTAGAGACAATAAATGATAATGATCAGGATGACAACTGCTACAAATAAGAAAATTATTTTTGGCTGTCGTCGAATCTTTCACAATCCCCAACTTCATCTTAAAAAACAAAAAAATAAAATGAGAAAAGAAGTTAAATTTCAGTTAATTTCCGTTCTTATGTAGACAGTGATCAGCCCTAGAATAAAATCGGAAATTTGTATTATTATATTATAGTTTAAGGGTAATGAACATAAAATCCAGCAAACGGGCCGTTCTCAATTTATTTTGTATCGTAGGCGTGTTTTTGACCGATTTGAACCATTTTCAATTTTCAATCTGCTCGCAGAAACTTCCAGGTTTTTTGCCAAATTTAGAGCCAGGCAGTGCAGTCTAGTATTATCGCTGCACCGTAATCCTTTGTTTACCCTCAAGCATTATTTTTCTATTTTATGTACCCATTATTATAATACTAGCATAAGCGTTCTTCTCACACCTAACATTTTGTCAACGCAAGCATATTATTAATTTTATGGAACGATATAAGAACGAGATTCACAAGGTTCCCATTTCGATTCAACAATCAAGTCAATTTTAATCTTATCTTCTTGTCTTCTAACTACACAGCCAGGTATTCCTCGAATGCAAAATGTTAAGACATCAAAATAGATAGTAAAAGTTCTCTGAAAATATTCCTTTCAGTGTGTTGAACGCCACGCTGGGTCTTGCAAACGTCTTGATAAAATGACTATATCGTCATGTTTCGAGGATGGGAACTAAAATGATTGATTGGATGGTGTTGAAATTACATCGAGAAGCATGACAATACCTTACTCATGAAAAACACATTTCAGCGAAATTTTTCTTACCATAAATTTTTTATTAGAAATGTTGCTCTTTATCCTTTTGTGACTGCATGCACTTATATATTTCAGGCGATTTCCAGATGTGTTACGACATTTTTTCTATATACGCTTTGTAAGCTTCTCGAACGCTTTCCGTTCCTTTAAAAGAGAAAACTTAATCTCGCCTTAATAAATTGTAGTTGTTGGCACTCAGCTATGCATTGATAACTCTTACTATTCATTACCATCTTTTGATAGTTTGCTAGACTGTTTGAAATGGTAGCAAAAACAAAAAAACAAAAGTTCATTACCTAATAAATTGTTAATCATTTACCTGCAGAATTACTTTGGTCTGTTTTTGCACTTTAGGGAATAAACAAAAGTTATACGGTTTGTATTTCTAAACTTTGTAATCTTTATCACAAATAGCAATTTTTTTTATTTAAGTCAGGTACAGTTACTTTGCTTTTTGAATTTATTACTCATAAGGTAGGAATTTGTCGTTAAGCACCAGTGCCGTTTCAGCAACACTTCATAAAGTAAGCAGAAAGGAAATGTGATATGATGTATAGCATTCTCGTGTGTTGGTGTACACCCGAAAAAAAATCGAATGAATATATTTATAACAGTTATAGAGAATTTAAACCAGTTTTTTTGTTTTTAATTTTCAAAGCAACCCCGGTTCAAAAGAAAACATATGAAATCAAAGGGAGATATGGTGAATTCGAAAGAAAAATCATGGCACTCTCTGGGTGAATCTTATCTATCTTGCTGCATGTAATTATTAATTACTGGTCTAATAATTTTATACCCTTAGATTTGCGATGCATTAAAGTTATTCCCCTTCCTAAAGCAGGTAAACAGTTAAATAATTTCAGCACCTTTAGAACCATCTCGCAAGTTTCTATGTTCACAAAGGTTATTAATCTCATGGTTGAGGGGAGGCTAAGCGATTTCTTGAAAAATGGGAATATTATTCCAGCGCGTTCTTATGCGCGTCATACACACAAATCTACGAACGTATGCATCAGCTGTTTTTCCTCTTGGCGAGTCTAAGGAAAGCTGGCAAAGTGCTTATCAAGCTTTGTATGGACATCAGCAAAGTTTATATTGCGTGAACTTGACACGAAGTTTGGTAAAATTCCCTTAAACTTTTCAATACCTCTTCAAATGCATCTGTGAACACAAAATATTTTAACCCTGTGTTGGTAATGAATACAGACAGAGCTATATGGCAATATTCCACAAGGCAGTTGCTTGACCTCCATACTCTTCAATCTATATATAGCATGACTGTCAGGATGTTGTCATCCTGGCACTCTCTGGGTGAAGCTTGATATAGTGATATTTTGGCACTTTGTACTAAATGCTACCTGCCTTTCAGGTATAGTTTTTTTAGTCACTATAAATGAACTCTTTAATCGATTCTTAGCCATTTTATAAAATTGAAACGATGGAATAAAGTAAAAACCAAGGAAATTATATTCAGTGATGATCGAATCTTTTATACCCATCGCCTTATCCCAAAAAAAAGACAAAAAAAGTAAAAGAACTAAATTTTCGTGCTCTATAATATGGAATGGGCATAGCTGATTTTTTCCATTTACAAAGAGTTTATCGCATAGGCGTATGGATGTTGCAGGCGTGTCTTTGGAAAATTTAAGTCATTTTCATATGTTTTCGCTAATGGGAGAATGTTTACCACAAATAGTACACAGTTGCGCAAATAGACGGATGGACATACGAACATGTTTAGGTCCATTCCAAACTTGAAACTGATCAAGAATTTATATGCTGTGCGAGGTTTTTGAAGCTTGTTCCTGCGCGTTATAAAATTAAATTTTGATACATTATTTATATATAATGGGTGGGCGTGGTAAATTTTTTCATTTTTGTACAGATGCTACAGCATCGCTCATAGAATATGCTTTCAATTTTTTGTTCATTTATCTCCTATAGTTTATGAGCAATGAAGAAAAGATCAGACATATTCTCAGTTTACGTAGTATTGTAGGCGTGCCATTTGATCTATTTGACCCATTTTCAATACGAACTTGCGTGCGTGACAACTTTCAATGTTTCTGCGAAATTCCAAGTCGATAACTTCATTTTTACGACCACTAGAATGATTACACCAAACATTGTATGGGGACCGACAGACGAACAGGGTCAAAATGATTTAGAATGTGACACTGATCAAGAGGATATATACTTTATTGCGTGTCTGATGCTTCCTTTTGCAAGCTGCAAACGTTTCGACAAAATGAATATACCCCTCATCCTTCGATCATGGGTATAAAAAAAGGGGTAATTTACTTAACAGAAGATAAGGTCTTAAGATTGAAAGGAAAGTAACCAGCAGATGCTCGTAAACATTCAAAGAAATCTGATAATAAATTCTGATTAAAGGTTATTGATTTAATTAACTATTATTGATTTCGAAATATCATCTCTCTAAACGATTTTGTGTACATCCATTAAAGAAGATTTTTATTATTCTCAATTATTGAAGATATTGCTTTATATGAAATACATTCAGTCAATATTCGTTGAATTGCTCCCTGCGCTGATTTACAACAGATGCTCAAATCTATTGTTCGTTACTTGTGTTAGGGAGAAAATTTCTTTCTTCTTCTCTTCAAAAAAGTAAAAACAAAAAAAAACAAAAAAAAAAATTTATTGAGAAAATGTTTTATAAATAAATACAAAAGATTCGAAACTTTTAGCGTCATATACACTAATCATTTGTTTATAAATAAATAGTTGAAAACGTGCAGTCGTCGAATAGAAATTACGAAAAGCGGACACAAAAGAGTTAAAAAAGCGAAAAAAAAAAATAAAAATAAGAAAATTAAATGAAATAAATTCAAATATATATGTGAAAAGAGAAGAGGCATTTTTATCACATATCTAATCATTAATTATATGGAATTTTTAATGTTAAGCTTCACAAATACAACAACAATAGTATTAACAATAGTAACAGCATGGATTTCGATCAAGTTTTAGAAGAAATCGGTGAATTCGGACCCTATCAAAAGACGAACTACTTGCTTATATGTTTACCGGTCATGTTCGCAGCTGCAAACAGTTTATCGTACGTGTTTACGGCTGGAACACCCGCTTACAGGTGCTTAAAATTTACATGCATTAAAGCAAAAAAAAAACCCAAAAGAAAAAAACAACAAAAAAGAAAAGAATAAAATTAAACGATTTATCTTAACAAATATTTTAAAGATGCTTGGTACCTGAGTGTGATAGCGTTCAAGGTGACTCACAAAATTACGAATTACATCCGAATTGGTTAGTAAATGCCACACCGGGTTCCCGAGATAGCAATGGCTTTTTTACTCCGGAATCTTGTTATCGTTATCAGGCGAATAAAACCTTTACGATAAATACTGGTACGACATGTCCAAAAGAGTTATTCCCTGGAAGCATAAAGGAACGTTGCTTTCAATGGGTTTTCGATCAAAACGAACACACAATTGTACAAGAGGTAAGTGGTTTAATATAATAATCGCCGAAAGAAGCCTTTTATGGGCCCTTTTGTATAAGCGATGCAAGACATATTAAGTTAGGTTAAAGCAAACTAACAGAATAAGTATTCAAACTAGGAAAGTAAGTCCCGTCTAAACTCATGCTTTTACAACACCCTGTCCCTTGAAAAGCAAGCCTTGAGAATTAAAAAGACGTTGAACTTGGCATGCTTGGTTGTTGTTAGCAAACGCTGATTCGATCATTTTGGAAAGGTTTCTTTGTTCGGAGACAGACATAAGAAGAAAACCCATTAACCAAAAGTTACCCATGATGTGAATATTCATTGCACAAGTTCGCTTCATAAATTGGGGAAAATATAGAACGTGGATTGTAAAACAATAAGAGATAAACCAAAGAATTCTTGGCATTCGGTACAGTCTCAGTTGTTAGACCGACTCGACTCTGTCGAAATTTTGCAGGATTCCGATGTGTCATATTAAAAATATCGTACTGCACGCAGCCGAACTTCGATCCTAGAATAGATGGTGTATTTTTTCGCATTAGCTAGCATCTGCCATCACTGCCACCGCTTCTGGTATGCTTACGCCCTACACCACTTGTGACACAGGGTATATTAAGTTAGTGCGGACGTATGTAACGCGCAGAAGAGCTTAAGATAGACCCTTTATTAGACCGATCTATTCAGAATCGTAATCTGAATTAATTAAAGCCTGTCTGTCCCTCTGTCCGTTTGATGTTTGCCGATGAAGATTTGCTACAGGCTGCAATTCCAAGGATATCTTGATGAAATTTGGTACAGTGACACGTTTCGACGCAAAGACTAACACTATTAAAAAAGGTTCGGGTCGGTCCACCTTTTCGACGCCCTATCCTGAAACGTTGTTATATAGAAAAAAATTGTAATTTTCAAAATTTCCCGTCAAAAGTGGCCAAGTAGTAGTATTTCGACATTCTAAATTGGTATAAAAACTTTGGACCGGCTGGGGCCGATGTAAAGAAAACTGACTTGCATGCGACAAAGAGGTATAATTTTCAATGCTTGATGATGAAAATTATATCAAAATACTAATTTAACATAAAAAAATTAACGGTATCAAATTTGGATCATCTCGACCTATTTTTTGGATCCTACTCTAGTAACGATTTGCATGAAAATTGATACCTTGTAGAGCAAAAAAGTCACAATTTCAACAAGAGGTGATGGAAATTGACCCACAATAGTAATTTCATACAAAAATGAAATCTACAAAATGTGGGCAATCTACGCCTATTTTTGGGGCCTGTAATTATTAAACTTGTATTATATTAGGATGCGTTTTGGGCCCACTTCTCCATAAATGCGCACATGAATTGTGTGCTTTTATATAGAAACAAGATGTAATTTTTGTGTGTTCTATAATGAAAATAACAATTGTGTTTGACAATGTGGTGTAGGGTATTTAATGGTCAGTCTTGCCCGACTATAATGTTCTTACCTGTTTTCCATATAACTTACAGTGGAATTTGACTTGTAAAGAAAATGCTTGGAAGTTAGCCTTTGTAGGAACGATGCATTTCGCTGGCTTAGTGGTGGGTACAGCTCTATCTGGTTATATGGCGGATCGGTACGTCAGCAAACAAGTCTTTTAAAAAGAATGATTCTCTTTCAATTTTCATTTTAGATTTGGGCGTAAACTTATATTTGTGATATGCATTATATTTATGGCGGCGACCGGTGTCGCTCAGGGCTTATCATGGAATTACAAAAGTTTTCTAATATTTGCTTTCCTAAATGCCGTTGGCACATCGGGTGTTTATCCTTTAGCATTTATAATTGGTGTGGAGATGGTCGGACCACGTAAACGTGAAATGTCTTCAATTGTCCTAAACTATTTCTATGCAGTTGGAGAAGCGATGGTGGGCTTGTGTGCTTGGTTCTTTCACGATTGGCAATTGTTGCAATATGTTCTCTCGATACCGCCGTTATTCTTTATAGCCTACTATTGGATGGTGCCCGAATCGGTTAGATGGTTGATAGCGCGTAATGAAAAGGAACAAGCTAAAGAGATAATACGCAAAGCTGCTCAAGTTAATGGTAAAGAGTTATCCGTAATATTGTTGGCGAACTTTGAATCGACCGAAGTCGAGAATCAAAAAAAGAACAATTGCCAAGATCATCCCAAGCAAAATTGCGGAAAGGGTTGTGAGCATAAGAAAACCGATAAGCATGAGATATGGTTGGCTGTAAAGGAAGTATTCAGGTCGAAAATTTTAACTTTGCGCTATGTTTTATTATTGTATATATGGTGAGTATGCTTAATAAGAAAGTCAAGCAAACAATGGAAGAATTTATATATGGTTTTCTTGAAGGGCCATTAACGCTGTAGTTTACTACGGCCTGTCATTGAACTCAACAAGTCTGAGCGGTAATAAATATTTAAATTTTGCATTAGTATGCCTTATAGAAATACCAGGTTATACCCTAGCTTGGGTAAGGCTTCGCCTCTAACCGTAATTGATCGTAGCGAAGTGATGAATAAAACGTTCGCCTTTTTAGATCTCTTTAAACAAATTTGGTAGACGTTTGTCACTATCCGGCTCTATGCTATTATGCGCTATTACCTGCGTATTGGGCGGTTACATAACCCAAGGTAAGAAAAACCTTTTTACTTATTTCCAATAAGAAAACTTATTCTAAATTTTTGGTTGATTTTTAAATTTAAATAAAAATTTTTAAAATATTTAGTGCAAACCGATGTGAAAACACGTAATGAATAACATTTTTTTTTATAAATTATTTCTAAATTTACTCCAAGTTCTGCTTATACTTATGCGTTGTTTACAGGAACAACTTGGGCTACGGTTTGCTTATTTTTAGTAGGCAAACTCGGTATTACCTCTTCATTTGCCGTTATATACGCTTACACCGCGGAAATGATGCCTACAGTAAATTAATTGTCTCTCTAATGTTACGCCGAGTAATGTCTAATGAGAATATCATCTATTTACAGATAATACGTAGCGGCGGTGTTGGAGTCATGTCTACATTTGCACGGTTCGGCGCCATGTTGGCTCCATTTGTCCCCATATTGGTAGTGTACTTTTGTTTTCTATTCGTCCCCTATTTTCTTAATTTTCAATATATTCTTACTTCTACATAGGGTAACTATTATGAAGCTTTACCGTTGTTATTATTTGGTGCGTCTTCCTTATCGGCCGGTCTTTTAGCGTTACTTTTACCGGAAACATTTCGAAAGAAATTACCAGACACTGTATGTTTTTTGTTTTTTTTTGCCCTTTGCCACAACTTTTATTAATACGAATCTTGACAACTGTTTATTTAGGTGCTCGAAGCAAAACAATTGGGAAAAAGAAAACCTCAAGCGGAGCTAAGCACAAAAGCAGACATTCACTAACAAATTTCTTTGGTGGTGTTGTAACACTTTTGATTACATCTTTTTTTTTTTTTTAAGTTTACTATTTATAAATAGTTTAATAGGTATTAAGTTTTTTTTTTTGCTTTAAGACAAACATTATTATAATATTTTCTACTAATACTCCAGACTTTTGCTGTCTTATTTTTTTTTCTTTCTTCGCATACTTCTTAATGTAGCGTAAATGAACCGCTAATGTATTGGCATAAATTTTCAAAATTATTTTGATTTATTGAAGCATCTTTTTTTTTCACTTTGGCAAGTAATGTATGTCATTGAATAAACCCGCATTCCAATCTCGATTAAAGAAAAACTTAATGGAAATTAATGATCCGTCTTTTTACGAGCGTAATATTTCCTAGTGTTTCTTTCATTTCATAGAGAGTTGTATTAATTTTGTTTGCATTTATTTTTTTTATAACGTATGTAACACCCAAAGAAAAGTTTTAGAAACCCTATAAAGTACATATATTCTCGATCGTCATGAAATTCTGAATTGACAAAGCCATGTCTGTCCATGGCGTGTTATCGACACTATGCTAGCAGTAAAATTGAAAATATCGACTTCAAATCTGATAGACACACTGGAAGTTTTTTGCCCGCAAGGTTGGTATTGAAAAACGGCCAAATTGATCAGAGCAGAAACTCGAAATTTTTCGCATTTACTTTACGAAACACTTTGCTCTTTACGTGTAAAAATGATAATAAGCGTCCTTATCCACACAAAGTTACATTTCTCAAACAAAGATATATTATCTGCCTAAAAATAGTGGACCTGATGGATTCATTTTTCTGTTAATAATACCACCAATACGGACATCATATAAAAGGACTTGGAGAACAGAATGAGAGAAGCCAAGCGTGTTAATTCTAAAATAATTGTGGTAGACGTCACGACTTAGTGGATAAATGTTTTCTTAAAAATAACTTCGATATGGATGTCAATTGGAAGAACTTGGAGTGTGGAATGCGATAAATATTTTAATAGCGGTGGGTATGCATAGCTCGGCAAACGATTACAACATTCTTACTTGTTTTTTGTATAATATTTCGTTTGCCTTTCTACCGAGTTAAATGGTGGCTTGTAATATTTTATATAAATTTTTTTTCAAATTTTCCCGCGTTTCAAGAATTTGAAAAATGTAATATTATAATATACATATATATATATATATATATATATAATAATGCCTTTGTATTTAGCATCATTTTGAAATATTTACCGCTTTGTGTTCAAATCGAATCACTTTTGCTATTTTATTATATTATGTTTGCTTGTAAAAAATTGCTTGTCCGCCAAAATAAGCAAAGTGCATTGGTTCGGTAATTCTCGAAAAGTTAAGGTGTCGAGGGGAGATTTATGGATTCATCTATACCTTTATCCTTTCCTCCGTCCCCATCCAGAACGGCCACAGACGACGACTGCCGACATCCTATAAGCACTTACTTGAAGGGCCTTCGGCTTTCCTACTTAGAACGGACATTGCCTGGTATCACGCACTAACCTTAAATACTTGCTTGGCTACCTTTCGATTGAAAAGGAACTTTTCTCTTACGACTCCAGCCCGCGATAACTCCATAGATAACTACTGAGCAGGGAAAGATTTGTTGCAGATCAAACAAACGAACCTTAACGATGTAACGCCAACCATAGCGTGGAAAACGTGCATGTGTTGATTCGGAAACACGGAAAATAACAGCGGGAAGTAAAACCAATAGAAACGAAATTCGCGAAAGGTAATCGTTATTAAAGTAAGTAATCAACCTGCTAACCCAAGTCGGCTTTTTCTCCCATTCGAGTTTTGTTACTATCGAACGTTAAACGGGTTTTTCATGCAAACAATAAAACAGAAAGTAGGCGGAAAAGATTTTTCCGCTTCTTCAAAATTAAATTTTAGAACAAAACTTTTTACCTGCATTTGATGCAAAAAAACGTTTGTAAAAAAAGGATATATATGTTTCAATCAATAGGTAGAAATTTTGATAGAAGAAGAAGAAGGAATACAAGAACATTACGTCTCAAATGTACATATATAAGTTGAAGGGTCTTAAAGATCTTAAGATTATCAAGCAACGATAGAGCTAGAGTTTTAAATGTCAAAAACTGTGTTAAAAATAGTAAGTTCAACAGCAAGATGCTAGAGGCCTACATCCCGAAAAGCTTCTTTGAAGACTTTTGGAATATCCTCTTAGGATATAACCTGAATGATGTCACTATGTTTCCCAAATCTTAGATACCCATTCCGTAGGATACGAGACTCAACTGCAGAGCATGATCGAACAGAAACCTTTCGACTTTTGTCATAATGGGATAAAATATGATATGATTAAAGCTGTCGTTAATGGAAATCGTTTAGCCCATCTGTATGCACTTAATCAGAGTTGACCTAATAGTATCATCCCAAGTGATTGACGGATTATCACAATTCGACTGATTCGTAGGCCAGGCAAAAATGTAACCGTTATTGCCAACTTAAGACAGATTTCTGTAATTAGTAGTAATTTTATTAAGTTAATGTATTCGATGGCCAATAAACTAATTAAATTATCAAAACGTTATTCTGATCCGGTCTTTTGATTATCAAAAAGGCAGACCAGCCACATGTGTATCAAATTATTATCTTTGCTAATAAAAAAAATATATATAACCGTTTTATCTTTACTAGTAAAAAAAACCAGGTAAGTTATTACGCTGTCTCCAGGCATCGACCGCGCTTACGACTGTGTAAGGTATAACAACCGATATATATAATATTTCATATTTGAGCCAAGCTTACTAATGAAAAATATATATGTTTACATATAGGCAGGCTACCGTAGAGAGTGGATTAAGAGTGGCGTAAGGCGTACGATTAGTCCGTTCGGTAAGTAGGTTTCGACCGTCCGTTGATCTTTTTATGGGTCAAAGTCTGTGGAATGTCCGTGGAACAAAAATTTGAGACCTGCCATATCTTTCGAACTAACTAGTCACGCCATGATAGTTGTACCCCTCTTATAGCCTCCAATCATCTTAAAGTAGCACTTAACTGATAGCAGACTGACTCTGCAGGCTGCTTGGTGGTGTTAAAGGTCGTTCACTATTTGCTCCTATGTCAGAAATGGGCGAAGAGTTTACCAGTTCCTTGTTTAGTAAAATATTCTCTTTAAATGTTTATGGTGTTGGCGGAACCACCAGTAAATTTACCGATATCAGCAACGGGTGCACAAGTTTAGCATCCGTTGTTATCAAAATCATTCATTTGGTTCATTTTGGTTCGATTTTGTTAAAGTAGGACAATGTAGTAAGAAATTTTAATTAGAATTTGTTATAGAAAGAACAAATTTTGGTTAGATTTTGTTCAAATGAAATTTTGTTCAAATTTTGGTCCTAAAATCAATAAAGTTCATAGTTCTACATTTATACAGAGATTACAATTATAATGACACATGACGTGACATATCTTAAAAACACAAAATTGTATGTGCTTCTGCTTTGCAAACGTTTGAAAGAATGCGTTGTCTAGCACAAAAAGTCCTCAATAATCTCCTAACTTGAATTTTAAACAAAATGTTGAACCATCTTATTATACAACTATCTCTTGCGGCAAGTAATTAAATCAAAATACGCAATACACAATACACGGTTAAAAGTAAGTTATAAATATCAATATGTATTTGTACATCGAACTTGTTGGAATCTGGCAGCGAACTTGTTGGAATCTGCCAGCCAAAGCTTTCGTATTTAACAACTCTTCGAGCCTGATTGTCAAATATATTTCAAAAAGCTTTTCGTATGCTCTTTGTGTTTTACAAATTTTTTTTTTTAAATCTTTAAATTCTTCTTTGTTATTTTGGTGTCTTCGCTAGATTCCGTTCCATTTCTCCTTATACAATAATATTCCCTTTTGTCCCTTCCCTTTCCTTATACAAGAAATCTTTTTTAGTAATGTGTTCGTTCTTTAACGATAAAAGGCACAACTGTCAAAACTTTCTCTTGCACTATTCTCAGTTATGTTAAGAATATAAACCGGTGAGCGCGTAATGTCATCACATGTATAAACATATGTTTTTTGTTTATAAACGATTGCTTTGATGCGCTAAGATAGCAGCAAATAAAAAATGAACAAAAAAGTAATCATATGAACATGCAAAATACAACGGTATCCGAGCATTTTTTCCTGGCATTTTTTCGCTGCTCGGAATTCGTATGAAAACGAGATTTTGGCTTAAATGGCTCAACAGCTAAGTTCAATTCTGTTGTCGACATTAACTGAAAAATGTGAAAAGATATTTCGCAATATGCCAAAACGGCTTGGTTGTTAACATTTTGCGATGGCATAAAAATAAATTGATCCAAATTTGAACCGCATGATTCTATTTCTTGGATCGCACGCCACATGAGATGGACTACGGAAAATGAGCGAGCCTTTCAGAAAACGATTTAATTTTTAATATATTATGCTGAAATTTGGTCCATAGTAAAACTTAAGGAAAAAAATCTTTGAATAACACAGGTCTATGCTCTCACTGTCGTTAGTTGTCACCGCGCTCTTACATGGATGGAAAATCTTATTTCTAATTTTTTATGATGGAAACTAGTAAATAATAAAATTTTTGTGAAATAAATTAGTTTGGCTAAATTTTGATCACGTCATATGATGCTTTGGACTTGCCTCAATATGCGAACTTTTATGAGAAATATGCATTTTTGATCTGTTATTATTATCAAGAGGAATGAATAAGAGGAAATAATACTCGGAGAAATGGTGTAAGGCATTTAATGGTCGGGCGTCCCCAAATATGATCTTTTTACTACCTTTAAATTGATTGAATTGATGACTACCTTTAAAATGATTAGAATGCAAACCTTTACATATGTCTCGATAACAAGACAAAAAGTAGACTTGAGTCACTTTCGAATAAATCTAATAATAATCATAAAAAGTCGTCGTTAGGTATTAAAGCGAGCTTAAAATCCAAGAAAAAAGAAAATAGATAAAGATATTTATTGGCTGTAAACATAAAGCATCGACAATTAAGCTAATATAACGGTTGCTAAGTAATTCTAATTATGACAACCGTAATTCAAAAATAAAATTTATATATTCATTATAGCTCATCATCGAAGGATGACAGACATACTCACTTTGTCGAAAGGTTTGCAACACCCACACAGAACCATACCCCAGATAACCCTCGGTCGGCATCAATTTCTGAACCGTTTTAATCATATATGGTTGTCTGTCCATCTGACTGCCTATCTGCGTAATGTTTGTGTTTAAAATTGTTCAGGTCTCATAAATGCAACATAGTTTGAGGCCATCTCTTTCTTAAATTTGTTTACAAATAATCGAACAAGAACTATAGCAACATATAAAGTTTGTTAATACCTCTAAGAAAAGAAAGAGAACATAACGTTTTGTACTTTATAAAAATAAAAAAAACACCCTCTTGCTTTATTATTATCAAACATGGCGTACCACGTTCTTTGCTTACATTGCGTGTGGCAAAGTCTTACCTTGAAAAAGTTTATTGAAAACCATAAAAACTTGGCCAAATTCAACTTTATTCATACGTTTATTCATTCATACAAAAATCATTTCTTATTGTTAAACCAAGTAGTAAAGAACAACAGTTACAAGTAAACAACTACAATAGCAAAGAGTGCTTGTTACTATTGCGTCTACAAATGGGCTTCATGGGTGTAAAAAGTCCATTAATGCTTGTCGTTTCTCATAAACGCATCTCTTTAGCGATTACTTTTTCTGACTTTACCATACGAAATTTGTTTTTGTTCTTCTCGACTAAATGAATAAATCGTACACGTTTCAATAATCTACAAACTATTCAGATTTTTCATTAAAATTCACGCCCGCGATAAGATTTCTTCGTTTGCGGTTCTTCTTATCTCAATAAGACATTTGATCATTCGTGTGTACGAAGAAAATGTGTAGACTCAACCGCTCAATAAAGAAACACGGCTACCTATGCGCATAGTCGACCATCACAGCAAAAACACATGTGCCTCAAAAATTTCATCAGTAGCCTCTTATGCTCAAAAGTCTTTTCAACTGGCGAACGCCTCCACTACAAGGGATAACTGCATCATACATAGTTAGTCTTTCGGAAAATCACTGCAAAATGTATGCTTTGGCGAAAACGACAGAGAGAAACCGAAATGTTCGTCTCATTGTAATGTCGAGAGTTTTCAAAATATCTTTACAAATTTTTTATGCTTCACAAAATCTAAAAGATTAAATTGATTATCATTTTTATGACGTCCCAACTTGGTATTCGTGTAAATTATTTAAAAAAACGAAACCATGAATGAGAGAAGTCTTGAAGAGTCTAAGTGCAGTCTGTAAAGAAGTATTGCTTTTATCTATATTGATTATGGGATGCTCCGAAACTAAAACGAAACTAAATTCATTGATACGAAGAAATGCGGGAAGTAAGTTATCAAAAAGTTTTATTACTGCTTTATTGCTTACATTTATACTATCATTTTCAGGAGTGGGCGACATAAAAATACAAATTAAAAAAAAATGCAGTGACAACAGATAGCCCTTTAAACAAAGTGCCAAGAAAGTACCACTGAGGCCACAGACTGCAGTTGCCGGCGATGAATGGGTAGCTTAATTTTTCGGCCCCATTAAAGCTTCTGCCGCGGCGTAGCATTCTACATATTCACATTCAAGTAGAGTATGATTATTTTGTGGCACAAATGTTGTTAGCAAAATGATTTGTATTATATGCATATCATGTTTATGGCGCATTCCAGTTTTTTTGCCCCTTCATTATCATTGCGTTTGTTTTAATTTCATGGCGATTTCGAATTTAAGAATTTTTGCCTTTTTTCTTCTCTGTTTTAATACTAAAACATTTATTTAAAAAATAATATCGGCATAATACATAAATATTATAATTTAATAATAAAAACTCTTACATGGTCTTGTTAGCAGAAAAATTAGGAAAATAAATTTCTTAATTGCCAAAGAACAATGTTTATTTATAAACTAAATTAATAGTCACCGTAACGGGGGAAAAAAAAAATACTGTGCACATTTCGATATACTTTGCATTTGATTGTAAAAGAGGTAATGCTTTAAAACAAAAAAAAGAAGTTACTTCATAAAGTAGGCTAAATGACAAAATTAAAAACAATTCATATGTTTATGGTACAAATTCAAATTCCTATGAATAGAAAAGTGTTGCAATTATTATTTTCTATATTTTCCTATTCTGCGCTCTACTAAGTACTTGAAAACAAAGTTCAAAAAAGGAAAAAAAAAACCAAAAAAAGGGATCAAAACTTAACACTACTCTTGTGCATGTTTAATATTTAATGTACAGTTAATCTAGCAAGAAAAGAAAAAAAAAAGGAAAGACAATTTCGATATATGAAAATAAATAAGAGATAGTACAGAACAAATGTAGAGAACGCAGCAATTTGTTACCAGGAATTCAACGTTTCGCTAAATTAAAGTTTACACAAACAAAACAATAACGGAATAAATGGTCCAATAGCTATATATACTGGTAAAAGCAATCTAGAATCGTCCATCCAACATGGGTCCGGTTGTCTCGAACCACTTGGTGGCATTGACGATTTACGCGCTGAAGGTATTTTTGGGAAGAAGATATTTTCTGATTTTAAATCCATGTGAACTAAATCATTGGAATGTATATAACGTAGTCTTTGGGCTGCATATAATAGTAATAGTTTCAGTTCAGATTCTACCAGCGAACGTTCCTGCAGGAGATTGCAAGCTATCGCTATTGAATAATAGCGTGGGCCCATACTTCATTCAAAGCACGTTTTCTGAAAAAAACAAGAACACCGTGTAAAAACGGATATTTTTTTCCTTCATTGCTCATACTTACTCGAACGATTTAATACTTTAATTAATTGCGTAAATTATCCTTGCGGTAGTAAATGCTAAACAGAAGGGAATTTGTTCGAGATGCTTTGAATCAAATAAGTTCATCGATGTAACGGAAACAGGTTTTCAATACGATGTAGAGTTGGTCAGTTCGACGTCGTTCGTTTCTCCCGTTGATGTTGGCGGGGTGGCATCAGCCAAGTTGATGGCCACTGTTCCCGGGCTCGCTTCACGCCGCCGTTTTTTCTGCGCTGACGCGGCGGCCCGTATGACCTCGACGATCCGACTGTACTGAAGCTCTTGCGCATACCATAGATATGCGCAAGTTTTCATCGAGGTGGACAATCCTTTTTCCAATAGTAGCAAACGCTCCCTTATTCCTTTTAGCGTGCTCTTTACCTTTTCCGCGGAGACTTGCTCTTGCACCTCCTGGGTTACTTTTTCGGCCAGTTCCTGGTACTGGCCGGATTTTGGCCCCACTCGCGGACGCCACAACTTCGGCTAATCCCGAAGATGTCGGGAGAGGACGTCGTGAAATTTTTGGTTAAAATTTGTCATGTTTTAACCTAAACATGTATGAAATAAATAAAATTAAATATAATTAGTTCAGCTAAATCTCATAGACGACTAACTATTAACAGACAAATAAGAGGCGCTAAGTGATCACATATCGTTACATGTATCAACTTTGAAGTGCGACAGAATTATGCAAATTTAGCATAATCCTTTTGCAAAAAGAAAAAAAAAAATTATGTCGCAATTCAACTGGCTGAGTATTACATTGTGAATTGCAATACGATACCAGGCGCTCCAATTAAAACAATTATTGATTACGTTAGCATAATATATCACCTGTAGAATTAAGTATAAATAGTTCCAATTGTAATAAAGAAAGCCAATTGTTATCACAGCAATTCACACAATTCAAGTTAAACAATACCACAACTACACTCACTATTAAACCAAACAACGCAAAAAGGTACTATCGCAGATTTCAAAGACAAAATATTAAACATAACAGCATATCTAAATTATCTTCAAATCAAAGAACTAGGCCTCAACCCCACTAACGAACAAAAATCCATTATTACAAATATAGCAAATTAAAAACAATATAAGAACAGTCTTTTTTTTGTCAACAAGCTGCCTAATTATAAATAATAATCCACCAGTCATTTTTAGGGGCAGGATAAGTCTCATTATATTTTGAACATCATTTTATAATTATGTTAATGCTTATCTAGTATATAAAAGACACTTCCTCAATTGTGTTTTGTTCATTTGAACCCTAAGGTCATTTATCAAATCTCAGCAAATCCTTCATCATTTTTTATTCTTCTAAACTGGTCCGTTATCTACAAACGCCGTTTTTCAATATAAAAAAGCTAATTTGTTCTATTGCAAATGCGTTGCCACTTCTAAGATCGTAAAAATTTAACATAAAAAACGGTATAACGCATTTGTAGCTTAACAACACTAATGAAAAGGAACAAAAACAAGAAGCGTAACTTAACGGCAATTTTCATTGTTATTGTTCATTTTCGCGATCTCCATTTATAAGCTTTGATATCCTCGAAAAGACTGCGCAAAAAATGTTATTTTCTTAGAAACAAGAGCAAAAAATCCGTCATATTCATGTGAAATTATTTAAAATGTCGTTTGCGATAAAAACTAATGGGGTTACTGAAACAGAAACATGGTGTAGGCGCAATGTCCAGTTATGATGGTGATGATATGCAGAAATTAGATGAGCCCGAAAAAACAGAGACGTTCGAAGAAAGTTCTAGATCGCCTCTCGGCATGAACTTAACTAAAGATAAGGAAGTTAGGATGACAACGCCACATCCGTCGCCGCCAACACCTGCGGAAAAAAAGCCCCAATCACCTGTAGCGAGGAATGATATCATTGCATTTGGAAATTAAATTAGAAACCGTGGTTTCTGGAAGCCCTCTTAACAACTTACAACGATTTGAAAGCTTTTCAAGAACGGAGACAACGCATCGAACAGTCAGGTTAGTATTAACTTCTTTGATCATAAGTATATCTCGTCGTACCTATCGCCAATCGTTGATTTGTCTATAAAGTTTCTCTTGTTTCAGCTTTTTCTTGTTATACTAATTATCCATCTGGTTTTATTTTTTTGTTGCTTGTCAAATGTTTTTGGGAAAAAACGTTTAAAAAGTAGTGAAAATTAACTATTTTTACAATATAATCTTTAAGGTCCCAAATTGGAATTGACAATATTTAAATATATAGTGAAATCAATTGATATTTTAGCGGTATGGGTGCATTGTTTGTTAAAATATCTTTGAAATCAGTTGTATATTTCAAACCTGTAATGTTTTCCCGATATGTTCACAGAGCATGGCCGATTTTTCCTGTTTTGCGCAAGTAGAAAACTAATTATTTGTTTGAATTTGATTAAATTTTTTTAAATATTCTTGGCTATGAGATGAATAGAAAATGCGTATTACGGGATATTTGTAGCAGCCAAGTGGCATAAATTGGTTTCATAAATTAATTTATAAATTCGCACCGTTTAAGCATAAGTTAATGTGAAACTTTTAATCACGGTATTACATATCATAACACCGTTAATAGAGAACGACTTAGCTGCATCCATTGACTAATTTTCATTATGATCTATGGATTTCATTCACCATTAAAAGTTACTGTTTTTATATACTCTACATCACTTGCGATACAATTAAACGATTTTATATAGATCCACCTTCTATTATACCGATCTAAGCTTGTCTGTCTGCCTGTTGTCGTTCTCTCATGTTCAACCTACAGGCAACGACATTTGAGTCAATTTGATAAAACTTGGTACACTAATAAGTTTTGAAGATGGTTTACATAGAGCAATTGGCACAATTGAGTTTGATATTGAAGGGGAATGCGCTACAACATGTGAAAATGGTCACCACACGTTCAAAATAGTACACATCCCAAAAGCCGAATCGCGTTATCAATCGTATTATAATAATAGTTCACGTTTTTTGCCATTTTTTTGCGACATAAAACGTAACGCCTCCTGATTGCGTACAGAAAGACAATTCATCAGCCTCGATTAGTGACTTTTTCAAGAATACAATGAAAACAAAACCCAAATCTGATCTGTAATATTTATGCCACTTAGACACTCAGGATATGTACAAGCAAACTCCTTCTCGCAATGGCGGAAATAACGCAAATTTGCTGTTTAGATAATCTTATCAACAAAAACCATTTAATATGCAGTCATCAACGGCGATTCATGATACATACAGCAAACACAGAAAGTTGTCCTCTTCGCTACATTGCAACTGAAAGGAATTTTGAGTCATTCAGAAGCCCAAATGCTGCTGATCAGTTTCAGATCAAAAGGTAAGCTAGGTGTGTAAGAATGTATCGATGAATAAGCAAATAAATGTTTTTAATTTAGGTGAAATTTCTAAACATAACTAGTTTGAGTCATCGCGATCGTGAAGACATTATGTGGAACTTACAACTTACTTGCCCAACAGCAACAGCAACAAATTCTGCAAACCTTAGCTGCTCAACAAACAACAGCATACACAATATTCAACGCACACCTTATAATCGGAATCGGCGGACATCGCTTAGAGTCTTTGGAAAATATTTTCTATGATTCTAACGATTTAGTGGATTATCCCCACAGCAATTCCAAGAAAATAGTGCTAGTACAGGAAGTAGTTTACATATAATATTATCGCTACACGCGAAATAAACTTAGAAATCATATTCTTAAATGTTTCTTAAGTTTAAATCTTTATTCGCATAAAATAAATTCATATTGACAAAAAGTCAATTTTCAAGAATGTAATTTTCAAACTGTGTATCACGTAGAACCATGGGTACGATCAAATATTTCTTGTAGATATGATATTTTAGCAACTTTCAATTTAATATGAACTTAATTATATTCACTTCTCTTAAAAACAGAATCAACTCCATTTTAGATTTAGGAATGTTTATCAATCGTATTTTCAAGTGATTTATCCTGCAATTTTTGGTTCATGTATCTAATTCTTTTATTATGTTTAATAATATATATATACGGACTTTTCTATAAAACATTAAAAATTAGGCGTTGTTGCCCTATAAAGAGTTACATTTCGTAGGAATGGTTATAATTAGTTTAGTTGAATTTCTCGGCCTACTCTTACTGGACGATTTTTATCGAAAAATTCTGAAAACTGCAATTTTATTGCTTTCTAGCAACTGGGGAGTGATCATAAAAGAAGTTGGATCCAATCTATTTTCAATAGGATTCTTCCTTACAGCCGACTTGTCAAAATATCTCAGAACTTTTTCAATTATTACTCTGACACTTTCTTGATTTAAAATAGAGACAGCAATTTACTACTAACTAAAATCAATTTCGTAACTTTTGAATAAAAATTGCAGCTAAATATTTCGCTGCATGAACTTAATTCTGCAATCTGTGCCATAAGTGGTGTAGGGTACAAGCAGAAGAAAAATGGCACAAATGGAAAAAATGAAGTGAAAGTTTAACAAAAAAGAAGCTAATACCAAAACCAAAACAAAACATATAAGTGAGTTATCGAGTCCAAGAACAAGTTTTAAATATAGAGAAAAGAATGCAAGCTTATATATATTCATTCTACTTGTGTCATTCAAAAATAAGCCCAAATTTCTTACCTGAGCTCTGTTGAGTGGAAGGCTTTGACTAGTACTTCAAACTTTTTTTTTTTTTTAATAATTACTAGGTTTTTTTCCAAATGGTGGTTTTTTCTCAGTCGATTCTTTCAAATTCGTCCGCACAGAAAATGTACATTAAAGATTACTAGCTTTTTCCAATTGCTGTTTTTTTTTACCAAGAAAATATGCATTTAATGCAAGCCTTACAAGAATCTCTTTAGAACCTCAAACTACTAATTAGGATGTTATTTTTTTTCAGAGTTAATCTCAATTGGATTTTCTTCTTTTCTGGTTTAATCTCACTTGGATTTTTTTTGAATCGTCTAATTTTTCCACGCACAGAATAGTATTTAAGGATTTGCATTATCTTATTTTTTGCACACACAGAGTTCTGTTTAAGGTGTTTAAATTGTATAATTTTTATAAGAATAATTTTTCGCATGCATATGATCATTTTTTTATAAACGAATAATATTTTTTTTTTTTTTTTTGGTATGTTGAATGGAGATGGACTAAGCCAATAGATTTGTGGCTTATATGTCCTAAACGAATAATAAAATTTAAAATATAACCGAAATGCGTGCAAAAAAATGGAATAAAGTAATTCATACAATATATTGATAACTTAAATTGTTAAAAATTATTTTTTTAATACAAAAGAGTAATGACTCCTTTTTTTTTACAGTGCTGAAAACAGCGTTAAAATCTTACAAGAATCCATATTTATTATTATTATTATAATTTTAGACTAATTCCTAGACTAAAAAAAGAAATTGAGCACTAGCAACAAAGGCTATCGGCTCTAATTTAAATAAATATACATTAGATAATGAGCTTAGTAGTATTAATAAAGTAATATATTGAATTGATATTTTTTTCTGAAGCTGATTGTAGAATGTCCAAAGGGTTAATCGTTCCAAATGTAATACTTCTAGCCAAGCAAAACTTAAGGCACTCGCAAAGAATGTGTTTTATAGTGCGAGTTTGTCCACAACAGCAGATTGGGGAAGAAGACTTCTTCAGGATCCATTGGTGAGTTGCAATTGCATGACCAAGGCGGATTCTCGAAAATTTTTAAATCTTGGTTTTCTTAACATTTGTTGGATATAAACGTGGAGTTAATTGAGGGTTAATGGAAGAGTATACTTGATGATAGTGTTATAAATTTTCTTCTGTAATTTTCTCTTTCACTTTTCTTCCAATGTATCTTTGAAGATCCAACTTTTCCATGACATCATCCATAATTAGAGGATCAGAGGCAGCATCCTTTGCCGCTCGATCAGCCTGCTTATTGACTTGGTACCCATAACATTTTAATTTTTCCGTCGGGTGTAGTAATTATATTCCTTAATTTGTTGATGGTGCTCCATCTCGAAGTCGAAGGGTTCCGAATAGCTTGTAATACAGACAAACTGTCGGTAACAATGACGATTTTGAGTTTGTTTTTATGGGCGAGGTTCGCAGCGTGAAGGCTAGCTGTGGCTTCGGTTGTGAAAGTTGAAGTACTTTTGTGAAATATGTGGTTGAGAAGAGCCCGTCCTGTAGCATCTACCACGGCACAAGCAGGAGGCAGACCAGAAGATTTACATATCCCAGGGTGTTAGTGAGTGTTGGAACATTTTTGAAAAATACATGTATTTCATATCTCTTGTTATTTTAGCAAACTCCCAATCGATTCCTGCAGTCTTTGGAACTTTTTTCCGATGCAGTCATACAATATGAAGACTAGGTATTATTGGCATTTGGTCTTAAGCTGATACCAATCGACGACTTGACGCAAAATGTCTAATGTTCTAATGTCCAACATATCTACCAAATATATTAAAATATTTTTTTTTTTTACTGAGAAACTTGGCAGCCCTATGTTGTTCTCATCTGTTATACTTTGTATCATATGTTCGTTGCGTTTATCAACTGTTTTCGGTCTTTTGTTTTGATTTTCTAAATTTGTATTGTACGCAATTTTCGCCTGGTAATTATTGCATTGCCTTTCTCGTTGCGTTGTAAATGAACACAAATTTTTTTTCTTTTTCTCTTGCAAACTGTTGCAGAAAGTGACAGTCAAACGTATAAATTCGATTGTTCTTCCCCGCGTAACCGACAGAAGAGAGCACCACAGTAAATGCTGCAGTTTAATGCAATCGATTGGGTCATTTTGGCTTGTACATAACCCTGGAAATTATATAAAGCTTGTAGCCGGCATTTTAAAGACCAAGTTCTTCTAATATCCAAGAAAAGAAATGTGTAATCAACTAAGAGTTCTTACAAAAGTTTAACAGTAATGAACCTGGAAATTTCTATTTTTTAGATGTTTTCGCTCTTGTGTAAGCGGTGCTTCAGAAATTGCTCAGGCAACAAAGTTATAATTGGAGCAAAATTTCTTAATATTCCTCAAGGCAATTTTTACTTTTCGACCAAAGTTGGCAATCAACCGGTTACCGTAGATGAAAACCAATGGGAAACTATTTATCATCTGCCTTTGATACGTTTGGCTTCAGCATATAATCGGGTTAAAAAACCGTACGGCTTGTTTACTGCCCTCGCAATTCCGGCGGCATATGGTTTGGAACATGCTTCGCAATTACCGCCAAGCGCTGGTAAGCATCTGATGGATTTTGCCATCCTCAAGGTCATGCTGTATAGAGATTGAAGAGCAAAGAGGTCAAGCAACTGCCTTGTGGAATACCGCTATATAGATCTGTCTATAGTCAGGTTTGGTTAAAATATTTAGTGTCCACAGATGTAATTGAAGAGATATTAAAAAGTTTAAGAGAATTTTACCAAATTTCGTGTCAAGTTCACGCAATATAAACTTTGCTGATGTTCTCACAAAGCTTGATAAGCACTTTACCAGCTTTCCTTAGACTCGCCAAGAGGAAAAATAGTTGGTGCATACGTTCGTAGATTTGTGTGTATGATGCGCATAAGAACGAGCTGGAATAATATTCCCATTTTTCAAGAAATCGCTTAGCCTTAACAATGAGATTAATAACCTTTGTGAACATAGAAACTTGCGAGATGGTTCCAAAGTTGCTGAATTGATTTAAGTGTTTACCTACTTTAGGAAGGGGAATTTCTTTAATGCATCGCAAATCTAAGGGTATAAAATTATTAGACCAGTAATTATTAATTGCATGCAGCAATATAGATAAGCTTCATCCAGAGAGTGCTGTGATCATGTAATACTCCGTTCAACCTGCACGGGTAGTTTTCGTCCTGGACTGTAAAACATACATTCATTCGCGTAAGGCGAGAGGGATGTGATGTGGAGACTAGGGGAACTGAAGGTATTATAATCCGAATGACATTTAGAATGCAACTCTTGAGCACACCCAAGTATCTTAGATTATTATGGTCATTCCATATAATACAACCATTTAATTTAATCTTGACCACAATGTCAATGGCCGTTGATAAAATTCCAGAGAAAACACGTGTTGCCATTGCCACATGTCTCTTCAATCATTCATTTCATCTTCATTTATATACATATCTCTCCCTTCCTTTGCGTAAGTGTTTCTTTTTAATCCTTCAATGCAATTTGTTGCCAATTTTATTTTACTTGTAATTATTTATATTTAAATTTTTTTTAAAAATGAACTGAAACTGGCATGTAGACAATTGGCGCCAATATGCATTTAAGGGTTAACGTTTTGCTTATAGGTCTGGCAACTCTAACTCGTTTTATCTTTGTTGCTACCTTTAACATTTTTTGCTTGTAACGGTTTTTCATCTACTTTTCTAGGCATGTTGGTGGCAATTGTTGGGGTGACTTCATGTTTGACATTAGCTCTTAGTAGTTTAGCATTCGAAAATCTCGTAGGATTTATTTATGTAAATGAATCCAACGACAAAGTGAAATTAGCTTTTATAAATTATTGGGGCGAACGAGATGATCGAATAATAAATATGAACGATTTAATACCTAGCTGGGAGCAAAAGAAACCAATCAAACTGGGTTTCTATCAACTTATACTTTTACATAGTGATCCAAAAGTGAAATATAAGCTATTGCATAGACACGGTGCCATTGAGAATTCGCAAGCGTTTGCAGCATTATTTGGGGAATAAAAGGCCAGAAAGGTATACCATAAAATTTATTTTATCAATAAGTTTGAAAATTACTTATGTAAAAATTAATTTAAAAAAAATTAAGAAAATTGTAAATGCAAATAAAAGTTTTCTAACAACAAGAATAAAAATTAATTAAAATGAAAAGATAAAAATTGATCGTTTTTACTCTTCTTTAATTGAATAAATCTCCGAGATGTTAAATAAGATAGGAGCATAAAAATTTTGAGTACAAAAAGTAATTTCTTGAATATTAAACATGCTACGGCCACCGAAGAGATGTGGGCAGCAATTAAGCACATAATTTCGCAGATTAGACTGAGAATAGTTGCACATTGAATATCTCGCAAAATTGTCGCCTACTAATTGGCATTTGTGCGCCCTCGGAAGCGCATTAAAAATTTACTAGACATTCAATCGTATAATAGAAAAATTATTTTATTTTTTTTTGCAAAAAAAAAATTATTGCACAACAGACACTATAAAAGGTATTATTATTGCAAAAAAAACAAAAAACAAAACAAAATAAGACTTTTTAAAAAGTTTTCAAAAAATTATGAAGGTTGCGTAAAATGAAATCTTCTCAACTACATATGTGAAAATATATCCTATTTTTAGCTGCTGAAAAATCTTCAGCAGAAGCCATTCAATTTGGAATAAAATAATTGCAAGAAAACCCAAAAATTTTGAACAAAAAAAAAAAAAAAAAAGAAAAGCAAACAAAAGTGAGCGGCAATATTTAAAGAGAGTATTTTGTTTACAAGGAATACTTTTTGCTGTTTCTCTAAAGGTTTTCTGCTTGAGATCACAAACAACAAATAAACAAATCTTTATTCATGCTGATCATGTAAAATGTGTCTCCTGATAAAAATAATGATAATTATTAGGATAATTGAAAATGAATGGATGCAATAAATCGGCTTTAATTTAATGATTAAATAAAAATATAAATAAATGATATTTAAGTTAAGTAAAGTCATTTACAATTTTCAATTTGACTTACAATAATCGCGTATATATTTAAAATAGGAAGACATACATAAATACATAAATATAAAACAAGCGAGAAATCACTTTAAATATATGTAACGCCTGAGATTCGCTAGAGTATTCAACACAAACTTGGGAACTATCTGGGAATATGCTTAAATTGTCGACTTTATTTTTACTTTGCTCAATGCTATTGCATTGCTCCGTAGCCCGATTACGGCTATTTTTAAACTTGACCTATGCGCCTTTTTTTACACAGCACATACTCGAAGTTTTCAATTTCTTTCCCTACTGCTGCTGCTGCTGCTGTTAACGATATGAAGACTATTTCGAATTACGAGTGTCACGTCGGTGTAAAGCGTAACGCATCACTCGGATACTTGGATATTGATTATAATAATAATTCTTGATCTTAAAAGAACATTATAGATGACTGACCTTTTCTTCACTTGCTCTTAAGTGAAACATTAAAAAACAATTGAAAATGAAATATTGAAAATACACAAAATGTAATGAACCATTAAGTTTATATGTAATATTCGTACATAAGTAACCATTTCAATGGGCAATCGCTCGAAAGGCCTTTTATATGTCCGCTCGAAGGGGCATTTAAACAGTTTCGTTATATTAAGTGTTTGCAAAGTGTTTTGATCATATTTTCACTTGAAAAAGGCGTTTATTGCGGAAAATTGGTACAATATATGCTAATCAACATAGTTAGCATTTTCCAGTTTCCCACATTTTACAATATTTCTGGCAACATGGGTGATATCATGTCGAGAGAACTTACATTGGTTTGATAGCAATTCAGCCACTGACGCATTTCCTCTTTTCTTCAACTTTACGGATCCGCATGCCAACCAAGTCATGCTCTATCGATCTGAGCAAATGGTAATCAGGAGACGGCATGTCTGGTAAGTACACTGGTTGCGGCCGAGCTTCCCATTCGAGCTGCAACACTTTATTCTGCACAACTTTTGCAACAAGTGACCCAGAGATGGCATTTTCAGTCAAACCGTTGAACCGAAAACCAACAATCCTGATATTATGGAGCCGCATTGCCATAAGACTCTGAACGTGTTTCGTAAGCTTCGGCACCAGATTTCTTCAAATAGACAATAAAAGTAATGAATTTGGAAGCAGAAGCATTTTGAACGCTTCGTGATTAGCGCCGCCGTACGCTAGATATTCGAATTCAATCGTTATGCACACTGGTATTTGCCATTTCTTTATCCCTTTTATCTGTAGAAGTCGCTGATCAAAACTTTTGCAAACAGCTAATAAAAGAATTCCTTATACCAAAGAACACATAGCGCCAGAAAAAAGTAAAAGGACTATAGTCCTGAAAACACAGATATGATCTATGCGAATCTTATAATGCAACCGCCGATGTCATTAATCGGTTGAAAGGTACATTAAAAATTTATTCGGCAAACGGGAGAACTTTTCTTAAGTACATATATAAGGGAAAATAGAGTGATTTGAATTTATCTCGTTCTTGTCAGCCCTTAGAGAAGTTTAATATAATTTTAAAACAATTATTTTTCTCTTGAAAAAAGATTTCTAAGGCAATTTTAGACACGAGTTTTTTTTTTTTTTGTAATTTCTCCAATGAAGTAGGTGCCCGCAATATGTCTATGACATCATTGGGTGTTAGTACCGGATTTATGGTGGGCTGTTGTGTTGCAGCTCAAATCGCCAGGCGTGTAACTAAAAAATTTTTCAAAAACGAAGAAGGCTTGGTACCGACTCTATTCTACGAAGCTATAGCGGCAGCAGAATTATGCGCCTGTTGTTTCGAATTGATTATAGGTAAGTAATAAATATTAAGCGACGTTGTGCTTTCATTTAGAAGCCCTCTAGTTAAGCTAAAGCAATAAGCAAGCCGTGCCCGTATAAAATGGGAAAAGTTGAACTGCTTCCCTTCAGAGTGTTCATATGCATACTTCTTTTAAATTATTGATGGAAATGTTAAACCCCCCCACTTCTTTTGTAAAGGTTTTTTTCATCTCTTTAGGTATTAGGTCAATTTCTGACCGCACTCTTACTCTTTTACTCACTTTTAGTCACATCAACACTTTTTTTGGTTTCAATACAACTTCCATAGAGTATTTATTATCAAAAAACCAACTGATTACAAATTTTTGTGGTTTCAATACAACTTCCATAGAGTATTGATATTGTTTCCAATAGAGAGTCCTTTGATTGAAATATTGACGCGAGTAACGTTGCATACTCGTTGTGAGGTGCTAAGCCCTTCGTCTTTTTCATCATTTTCCTTGTGGGGTCTCAAATTTTCTCATTTTCTTTCCTTTTTACAGTGGCTGATAACTTCGGTGTAGCTGCCTATGCTGTCTACCTATTCCTTTTGACTGTGTGGTGGGGAAAAGTTTGGGGCGACGCTTCGGCTTGTCCATATACGCACATGGAAGACATGTTAGAGGGTAAAACCTCATTGAAAGAAGTAGCTTTACGCACTTGGGCTGAATTAATGGGCGGATGCTGTGTTTATAGAATTGTCCAGGTGTTCTGGTGGTTTGAATTTGCCGAAACGCATCAAGGCCGTGCTTTCGAGGATTGTAATGCCGATTTACAGGTACATACAATATGCGAAACAATTTCATAGCCTTTCTTTTTAACTGAAGAACTGCAAAACTTTTAGGTGAATCCTTATTTGGGTGCAGCGATAGAAGGTTTTGCTACATTACTTTGTCGTTTGGCTAGTAAAACTTTGAATGAAAAAGGTCCAAAATTTTGCAGTATTATCGATTCATTTATTGGTACAAGTTTGGTGGTAGCAGGTAAGCCAAAAGCTGTTACTAATGTTTATGTTATACTAACACCTGTTATAAGCCTTTACCCGTAAGGAACACACCCAAAATGTTCTCAAATACAGTTTATGCGTTTAATTATGCTATGTTTTCAGCTTTCAATTTCTCCGGCGGCTATTTTAATCCCGTTTTGGCTACCGCTTTAAAGTGGGGCTGTCGCGGTCATACAAATATTGAACACATTATTGTCTATTGGATTGGCGCCTGTGTGGGAGCAGTAGTCTCAGTGCCACTCTTTAAATTACCTTATGTACGTAACATGTTATTGGGCAGCGAATATAAAGATAAGAAAGAATAAGGTTCATTGTGCTTATTCTAGTTTTTTTTTTTTTTTTTGTGTTTTTATATAATTTGAATATTTTTTTAAATTATTGTTCAATTTGTTTAATTACTTTTTACCTATACAAATGTTTATCGTTAATTAGATACCAAAAATGCTGAGAACAAATGAGTGATAATTAATGAGAATAAATTTAAATTATGATTGAAGAAATAAAATTACAATAAAATGTTCACTAAAAGAGGCACAGAGGTTTTACATAAATATAACGGGAAAAGTAATATATGTTAGAAGCTTTGTTATATTCATTGGCACAAGATCGAATTAAAATAATAGGTGATTTGTCTGATTGGACGAATAGGCAAGAGTCTCGATAGGCAACTCAATGGTCGCGGGCTCAAATCTCAAGTGCGGTAGAGTTTTTTACAAAGCCGAAACCACCAGATGCTAGTGCTTTAAGACTTTAGTCTTCTCTGGCTAAATTTATAATAACAATAGTAATAATCAAATAATATGCGTATAATTTTCCTTTGCGACAGTTTTCGCCCAGAAGAGCAATCATGTAAGCCACGACCATCGCCGTTATTTTTTTTATAAGGGAGTGATTATCGCCATGGGTCGCACCTTTACAAGCAAGCTTTGTGGTAACTGCTTATTTTATACTTAATATTAAGGCAAATTAATTCTCAGCGGCAGACTTTTTATTGCCGACACATTGAACGTAACTGAGTGGGCGCATTTGACGATAATCGACAGCAAATTTTCCAACATGACTATATTGTCCTGGCGAATATCGCCTATTTCATTGTTGCCTGTTTGCATGATAACTCCCCAGATGGCTTTAGTGATACGAAATGGTGGAGAATAATCACATCTCTGAAAGCTAACTTACGTTTTTGTTTTATGACCGGTGTTGCTTCACGTATATGATAGCATTAAGTATTGCTTGTTCGTTTCGTTTTCTTTGCCTCACTTACGCACAAGAGCCGTTAAATACGCTCTCTCATAGACGGTGTCGAGAATAAATTCCAAGACTAAAGTCTTAAAGCTCTAGCATCTAAGGCTTTCGGCTTTGTTAAAAACTCTACCCCACTTGAGATTTGAACACAGGACCATAGTCGAGACTCTTGCCTTCTCGACCACTCATGCGGATTGAATATTAAAGAGGGTTGATACAAAGAAATCAAGAAATACTTACATATCTTCTCTTACTTGGTGTTCATATGTATTTAAAAAAGTTGTATCTAGAGCGAAAAATTACTCAAGCAAATATCTTATAATAAGAAAACAGGCTAGAACGGCTCATCATTTTTAGTGGCAGTAATTAAACTTATGAAGCTCAAATTCTTTCTTTTTATAATATCTGCCACATATATCATATTTTGTTTGGTAGGTATATTTAGTCTCTCATATAATGGATTGTCTTTTTTGATAGCTACTAAGGAATTTCACTTCAATCTTTATTAGGCCTACTTATTATGTTGCTGCTTGTAATTAAAATTTGCATTTTAAGTAAATTTCTGCAATTCCCAGTCGCACAGTCCATCTTTGTTTCATGTTATTATATTATCAAAAAATATCATGGCTATATACTTCTATTATATAGTATTATTTGACTTTATTGATTAATTACAATGGTACCAATAAATTTATTAATCATATAAACTAAGAGCGATAGCGAGTTAAGCAAGACTTAACAATTCTTCTTATTCAACTAAAACAAGCGAACAGTCTAAGCCATAGGAAGAAAGCACAAGACGTTGTCAACGGTCTTGCACGGAGCTTTAATGCGTAGCATTGCAAAACATTCAAGTCCTGCAATATCATTTAAAGCACTGAAATAGTTATCGGAGCACACTTTGCTAGTGGGAGTGGCTTTTTTCATCCGTTAGATTAAATCCTCATTTTAATTCAAAATTTTCAATAGCAAATATTAAAAAGTGGCCATCGAAACATAAGTAATCAATGTGTATAATTTGTCAGGAGACAAATTATGATGTTTACAAACTAACGTGGATTCAACAATAAAAAGAGGCTTGTTTCCTTCTACGTTTAAAAATAAAGGGAATTTTATATTAGGTTCAAAGTTATATGGATATCCAATAACGGAGGATTAACTACTTATACTTCGAAGCAGAAGACAGAAACAAATTAATTATTGTAAAGTCAAATTAAATAATGAAAAGCGTGTAAAGTTCTCATTTATACGAATTGTAAGAGATTTCCGGAACTGCGAAACACACCTATAAACAAGATATTTTCTCTGCCCGTGTGCATTCCGATCCAAATCTCGCTCGGGTACTAAAAACTTAATTCAACCATACATACCATAATGCTTTTTTTTTTTTTGAGTTGATGAGTGGAGATGGACCTCTAGCATAAATGAAAAATTTTAAGGGCTTAACAGAATACAATCGTTAGTAGCTGACAGTCATACTGTCATACTGGCAAACAGTCACACTGTTTTGTATGGCTTTTAAATGTATTCTAAAGTAGAGTTACACTACAAAATCTTTCATGAAATTTTAATGGTAGCCATATGGTTTTTACAAACATTCAGACTTTTGTAAAGCTTTATTTCTTTTCATATAGGCTTTTCTCATATCGAAAAAATGTAGTATAATGTATTAAATGATGGTTTATTTAAGGAGCTACGTTAAATTCTAAATTTTGAAAACCTTTTTAAGCTTTACAGAATTTAAGCAGTTAAAACGTCGGTGACCGTTGGTTTCTTGCGTTTACGCTTACGCGATATAAATAAATTCACCACATTATTAGACACTTTCTCGAAGCGATATTCTGTAGAGCCTAAGGATAAACATTTCACACTATTTGCTGAAGAATTCAAACTTGATTGTGTTGTTTCTGCTGCGGACACATTCAGTGAAGCCCAATCGTTCTCTTGATTCTTAATCCCACTCTCTTTTTGTATCACTTCACTAGTGTTTATCTCCATCTTATTATCAATTTTGAAGTCATTGACATCCGTTTTATTATTAATCGTATAATCTTTTTCATACTGCGGTGATTGAAAGATTGCCGATAATTGAGTATCAATTTCTTTAAACTTCTCATCTTGTGATGTGTTAGCAGAATTCACGATTGGCACCACTTCTGTTGCCGTACTATCCACACTGTCTCCATTGAATATTGAATGGTTAAGTTGAGGTAAATTAAAACTTCCATTAGGCATTTGTATGCTCTCACCATCTAAATTAGTTTCGTTCTTATTTACTTGGGTTACTTTTAGTGTAGGGCAACTTTTCTGTTGAAATTTTGTTGTAAGACTACTACTGTTGCAGTGTTCGCTGACAGAGCCTTCAGATTTCGATGAATATCCCTCTTCGTCATCACTGTCTGAATCTAGTATCCGTCTTTTTGAGATCACACATTTGCGACGTTTATGACGCGCGACACCGACGGAAATTTGAGAATAATTATCTGACATGTCATCTATTTTATCATTAATTTTGTTCCTCTGTTCACTTATATCTTCACTTGAAGTGAACATTTTACTTGATGTGTTCAATTGTTCGGGCGTTTTTTCTTCACTGAATCTAGGTGTAACAGCTACACTTTCCTTTTGCTTGTCAATTGAAGATTTACCACAATTTGTTGATTCCTGTGGTACCTTTTCTTTCGGCTTTCTACCTACATCGGTATCTTTTTGTGTTTGCTTCCCCTCAATACAAAAGGTGCTTTCTAGTTTGCTGATACTCTGATCTACTTTGACCCTTTCGTTTAACGGTGTATTATTTTTTACAGGCTGACGAAGTAACTTAAGAGGTTTTACTATAGATTTTTGTGCAATTTCTGGAGACCTAGGCATTAGAATGTCCCAAGGTTTATGATTCAAAGACGCTTTGGTAATTTCCGCGCCTTTTTTACTTGATGATGAGGAAAAGATTTCCTTGGAATTAATCCGAATCTGCTCCGAATCGCGGTCGGAAGGCTCTGCAAAGTGTGTATTTTCCACGTTTTCAATTAGATTCAAATTGCTTATTTGCTCCGTCTTTTCGTCTTTCAATTGCGGATGTCTATCTTCGCCACTCTGCGATGCTTTCATGAACGCATAATCTAAAGAAGTTTCGTCAAAAGTTTCCTTATTTTTTAAAGCCCTGGTTTGTTTATCGGAGCCAAGACCGGACCGGACAACTTCGCTTCCAGCTAACGTGACATTTGATTTAGAGACATCCGTCTCTAGTTTTTTAGTTTCGGTAGCCTTGAACTCTCTCGGATTGTTTTCAACATTTTTTTTTATTTCTTGATCAGTCATTTCTAGACATTTATGATTTTTAATCGTCTCATTTGCCTTAATCTTAGGTGCACAAAAGGTCGAAAGATGCCCCTTTCTAGGTCCAACATAAATTCCAACGTCTTGTAAACTAAATAACTTTCTTTTGTTTGTTTTGACCGACTTGAGACTTTCGAATGATTTCTTCAACTTTGGTATTTTATATGATTTATTTTTAAGACAATTGGCCGTGAGAATCTTTTCCAAACACTTTACATCAGAGAATTTTGAGCAGTCCAAACCTGCAAAGTATGCCGTTGGCGTTTGAAATTTATTGACCTTGTCTGGAAAGGTGTTGTTGTTTGCTGGAAAATTATATTAAATTGTTATATTAATTGACTATCTTCCATTATATAGAATAAGTAAAAATGCTGTAGTCGAACAAGACCGTCCATTAAATACCCTGCATCACTTCGTCCTCTGTTTATTTTGATGATAGAATATTAAAAACTATGCTTTCAGTTAACTCCTATGTCAAATAAGATAATCAGTCAAGATTTACTGTAACATTTTTTTTTTTTTGGATCTTGAGTTTGACGTAGACTAATCTAATGAAAAATGTGGCGTATATGTCCAAATAATAGAATATGATGATTATTTGTACTTTTAAAGTTAAGAGGAAACTGAGGTCAGTATGTTAAGTGCATTAGTAAATTGTGAGGGTTTATATATGTAAGAATAATATTGCAAACTTTGGCTGATATAATGATAAATTGGAGATAAATTTAATTAAACATAAAGCTAAGGCCAATCAACTTTACTAATACAGCAAGTTAGCTCCCCAAGATGAGCATCATTTTTTGCTTCAAAGGGCCCAAAGAGGCCACGACGAGGCCACCATATGCTTTTCGTTTTTTGGTGTAAGATTTTTTTGTTGTAGGTTTTTCGTTTTTTGGTGTAGGATTTCAGGTTTTTGGTGTAGGATTTTTTCGTGCAGGTTTTTAGTTTTTTGGTGTAGGATTTTTTTAATTTTAATAATTTTTTTCATATTTCCTAAAATTACTTATATTCATAACCTAATAAAAAAATGAATTTTAAACAATGAAGCACGGACGATATGAACATTGTTATGGTTTTCTACATGTCTTCAAACTCCGTTTCTAATGATTTTACTTCTCGGGATCCACCACCCCTTTCCTCTCTCTTCACCCGATTATATCACAAAGCTGAAAGAGATACGGAGAATGGTATCGAACTTGCGACATCCTAAAGATGAGATGCTCAACGGATTCGCTAGTATTACAAGCCTTGCAAATATAACTATGGCATAGCACGGTAAGCAGTGTAAGCAGTATAAGAATTAAATAATATGAATAATTCAACTGCAAGATATTATGAATTATATATTTTTTTGCCATATGAAAAGTAACTTTATATAAAAAACCTTATACGGCGTAGACGACAAAGCATAAACGTGTAGGCGAAGTAAAATTTTATGTCGAATTATTACTATAGACCAAATATCATCACGAATAATTAGCAACTATTAAAACTAAGACGATTTTGCCATATGAAGGGATACTTTTCGTAGGAAAAGTTTTCTGGAAGAGGATTAAAAAAGTTAGGACATCTGATTCAAATTTTTTAGCTCAAATTAGAATGCCCAAACTCTATTAACAAGTTTCACATAACAACTTCTTGAAAATAAAGCATTACTTACATAGCGAGCGGCCGTAACAGGTGCTATCCAATCCATTCTCAATAATGTCCATTCTTGGACGAAAACACATTGATTGAGAATTAAAATGCGTCGACAAAATGCAAAGCAACTTTAAATAGGTCATTATAATAATAGGAGTATTACATACATCCATACAAATTTAATATATCCTACACATCGCACGTAATGCAGGCTACAATAATCATAGATATGATAATCAATAGACATTTTCTCGAAACAATTGTGGCTTCTGTGTACCAAATGACAATACTATTCGCCAATTTCCTTCAGCTTTGTTTAAAAGTTTGACTAGTCGGATTCGTTATAGCCTGTTTAAGATTTCGAATGCTATAAACGAGCTACAGATGCTAGCAGAAATGTGTTCATATGTTCATATGATCAAAAGTGTTCGAATATTCTCTATATTATGCTACAATTCAATGTGAAATCATTTGCTATGGGTCTGTTAATTTTCCAGAAATGTTTGCCCAAGCATCTAATTTCCCAAAGTGCATACAAATTTAGTCAGTAGTCATTATTACCTAAAAAACTGTTATTTTTTGGAAAGGCAAATGGAAACAAAACTTTGTTGTTTGTTTACATATGATCCGATGGACAAACATTTACCTTTTTCATCAGCACAAATCTCTTCCAATTTACTGACACCTGGTAATATTTCCTCCTTGTCACCATTTTCTAGAAATATATTTTTTATTTGAGAGACATTCAACGCAGGTGCTTTAGTAGATTGAATGATTGTAGGAGAGTCTGGAGAAATTTCCAAACTTTCTTGCGCACTATTTGTGGCATTCATGGCCAAACGTTCTGCTTCATTTTCGCAGGAGCTTCTTCTTGCAGCGTTCGTTTCATCTTCGATGCCTTTTTTCTCTTCCATTTCTTTTTCTGCCCTCAAGTTTTCCACACATGCTTGCTTTTGATCTTTTTTCTCCGTCTCACTTGAATTGAGGCACTTGGATGTGATGCTATTTTTCTCATATTTATCGAAGACTTTACTCTCTTGACTTTCAGCACCTTTCACATCAATTGCGTATAAAGGCAAAGAGTTTCGGTTTCGCCTTTTAATTCCCCAGCCATCTCTTGGCTTAAATTTGCTCTTAACGCTTCGGAACTTTTTGGTTCTTCTTGCTTGTACATTTCTAAAATAGAATTTTTTTTTGCCTAAGCGTTTAACTTGTTTATAATAACAGACAGCTTTAGTTATGGGTGCAAGACCAAGCAATGGCGGCTTCTTTAAAACAATTTCTTTGTCATTTTTTAAGTCTTTTATAGAGGAATTATCATCATCGTTGTTCCCATTACTCAAATCAGAGTTTGACAGATTTTCCAAACAAGTCAAAGAAGCCTTCTTTGGGCTTTTGATGAAAGGTTCCGAGATCTCTTTTCTCTCAGCTGATTCCTTATTAGTTCTGTCAGAATCGCTGCCATCCTCAATTTCAGTTATTTTTTGTTTGCTTGTCGCTATGGTCGAAAATGCAGATTTGTTTGTCATTTCCGTCGATTTCGTAGCATTTTCCAAGTTGTGTACATTGCACAGGACACTAGCAGCCGGCAGAATGTACTCTTTATGTTTTATAGAAGACTTGTGATTAATAGATCGAACAAGATCTAAAGAGTTGCTTGTTAACGTCGTAGTAGTAAGCGTTTCCTGGTTAGTTTTACTGAATACGTTATTAAAGTTGACAGAAGTTTCCATTGAATGATTTGTAATGCAAGGCAATTGCTGTACTACACATGAATTCTTCAAAGCGTTAGTAACAGATGTTTCGTGAGCATTATCAGTGATAAATTTATTCAATTTGTTCGAAACATCGGTTGAATTTGTGGAAGCGGTTGCCGATCTACTAGATGCTTCCGATGATGGTTTAGTAGGAGATGTTTCTTTAGCTGGTTGCGGATTGTTGGAAATATTACAGTATGGTGATTTAAGTAACGAAGCCACTACGATGTTTAGTTGTGTAGATTTCGAAGTAATGGTCGCATTTGAATTGCAAATGTGAAGAGATTTTGGAAAAACTGCCTCGTTATTACCATTATTTAATGCCTTCGGCACGACATTCAATTCGGGTAGTAATTTTATAACCTGAGCTACTTTATTTACGTTTTCTTCGTCAATTTCTTTTGTAATTAATCTTATCCTTCCTTTATCATCGTCAGCAGAATTAATATCGATGCCCGTTTCTTTTCGAATTTGCATGGCATTAAAAGCCATCTGCGTTTTATTTAGATTTTCCAATTGACTGCTTAAATCATTGCTAGGTAAACTATTGCCAAATTCTTCCACTTCTTTTACTGGTATCTCCAACTTTTTTGTTTCCTTTCTCAAAATAATTTCCTCTTTCTTACTGTATAGTACCTTATCACTGGACATAGCATAAGGAATGTTTGCTGATTCTTGAGACAATATGGGCTGGAGAGTGATACTAAAATCTTTATCAGCACCGCCTAAGTTCTCGTCAGTTATATGTAATTCATTTTTGTTACGATTTTGCTCTTCCGGAGCCTTTGGGACAGACTTCATATTTTGTTTATGGTCCCCAGATAGGGAACATACCTTAACTGATTTATTATTAACATCGGTGTTAGTAAAAGAACATATATTTCCTTTTAAATCTTCCACTTTTTCTATGTTACTTATTCTTTCTTTTTTTTCTAAAGAACATAACCTTAGTTTTTCTTGTCCAGCTTTTCGTTCTACTAATTCACAGTTATTTTCTATTTGTTGATCAGAATTCGGTGTCGCAGTTTCTCCAACAAGATTTTCGCCTTTCTCCTTTGAAACGCTTAACTTTAATTTCCCTTTTTCATCGTTCACAATGTTCGCGGCCGAAATCAGTTGCGATTTGTTTTCATTCTTGGGTGGTAGTAGGCAAATTTGTGCGCTATTACTTGCTTGACATAGTGCGCTATTTTTCTCCTTGGCTCCAACAAATAAATTGTTAGTGCAGAAAGATGTCATTATCGTACCAAGAGCGGCCGATCCACATTTTTCTTGTGAACTCTTAGTATCGTTCTCGACTGACGCAGGTAAGCAGATCGTCTCGGAGAAAATTGTTTGATTAATTATGTCTTCCGACTTCTTTCCTTGTCCAGATATTATTCGCTCTGCTTCGATTAGTGTTTGAGAATTTTCTTTCAAAGGTTCAACTTGACCTGATTGCCAACTTTCAGCCATGTGATTAGGATTTTGCAAGGAGATAACATCAGAAGAAACTTCTTGATCGACTAATACTTTTTCTTGCTGCACGTTTGTCGACGTTCGAGAATTTCCATTATTACACATATGGCCGCAGGACTCACTGACTTTTTTTAATATCGTTTCTCCGATTTCACATATTTTTGCATTGCTTGACCCATTGTCATACGTTTTCCCGTCTTCGTCTAGAGATACTTTTTCTTTTGTAGATAACTTCGAAGATTTTGCTTCAAATGACGATTTTTGACGATTAACATCTTCTTCGGACTTGTGAGAAGTCACACTCTCATTATGCTTTTCCAAATTTTTGCTGAGTAATTGTTCTTGTTCAGGTCTCTTTGATTGTTCCACTTCATTCATAATAAGACCATTTTCTTTCTGCTTTGAATTGATATTTTGGATTTTAGTAATGGCTGACGTCAAGGGTATTTCTTTATCACAAGTTTTCCGGCCGCTAAACGCTTTTTCCGCCGTTTTTCGACTTATTTTCAATATTTGAGAACTTTTATCATTATACAATTCCAAAAAGGTCGAATTCTCTCTTTTAAGATTAATTTCATTTTCATCTTGGTCATTTCCTTTGCTCGCTCTAATTTCATTTTGTCTTAGTAGATTTTCACTCGATGCGTTTGTTAATTCTTTACCTAACAGATTCTTTAGATGGGAATCTTTTAGATTTCCAATTTTTACATTTTCATCTCTTAAATCAATCTTTCGAACTTCTTCTGGCATTTTATGCTCTGTACTATATTCAAGTCCTTGCAATAGATTTCCAGATTTGTGGCATACTGTTGGTGAAGAGACCTTAGAATCTGAATCCGCAATTTTTGCAAAGATGTTCTCTTCTACTGATTGATTACTGATAACCGCATTAGTTGCAATTAAATCTAATCCAGGTATTTCAATTATCTCTTCTTCTTTTTCTCCTTTAAAACTTGCAGTGTTACGTTTAAAGTTAACAAAACCTGTATCAAATGACAATTCCCTACTGGTCGTGCTTGCATCCAAAATTTTCGGAAAGTTCTTGTCAAATCCAGCTATTTTTAAATAAGTAGTTTGCTCATTGACATCGATGTGATCGCCTGAAGAGATGGCAGAACTCGTAGTTAATGACTTTCCTGATTGATTATCACAATTTTCTTTAAATATCCTCTCGCCACTGATATCTTCACAAGATATGGAATTGAGCGAAGGTGACTCAATTAGTTCTCCGTCGGGTTCGAAACTTTGAAAATCATTCAGCTCAGAACGTTTTTCTTCTTTTTTAGTTTTCAGGTTTTGTTTGGGATCGTGTTGTTTTCTGTAAAAGAATGAGAATGAATTTGATATTATACTTCTTGGCAGTTCCCGTGCTACGTATACAGCATACTATATACTTCATCTTTTTTGAATTTTATTGTGTTTTAATAATAAATAATCGGTGCAGGTTGTACTGAAACCAAAAAAAAGTTTAATTTCGTTGTGTTTTTATAAGAAATAATCTTTCTTGCGTAAGAATTTGTAAAAAGTATACATTTTCGTGCCATCATTATACTAATGGGTAAGAGTTTCGAACTATTAAATATCAATTAGTTTACAATTTCTATTTTTTTTGAGTCAAAAAACTTACTTAATGCGTTCAGTTTGCTTGATAGACGATTCATGGATTTCAGAGCGGTAATTATAGTTTTTGCTATGCTCAGACTTATTTTGGCCACTTTTTTCTTTATGATCTTTTGAATTATTATCTGCATGGACGTATGACGTTTCTTTACTTTTCAGAGCTTTGTTATGACATTTCATTTGTTTTGATCCTTTTCTATTGTACTTAATTGAGTCAAATGAATGGGACCGTCTCTTTCTACGATTATACTTTTCGACTGAACGAGACCGTGAGCGGTGACGTTTATGACTACTTTTGCTTTGTTCCCGAGAATAAGAGCGTGACCTTGATCGTATTCTTTTACCATCTTTATTCTGATAAGTTTTCCCTTTTTTTTGCGGACTAACTTTTTTTTTAGATTCCACAAAGTCTGTGTTATCGTTTAAAGATATCTCTATCTTTTTCACTGCAATCTGTCCATCACTTTTGCTTTTACCGCTGTCTGATTGATGCTTCGAAATTCTGCGAAAACACAGATCATCTTTCCTACAAAGTTATTAATAATAGATTTGCGAATTGTTATAATACGTCTGCTTAAAAAGCAAGAGTACTTACTCAGTTCTTAAACGATCTATTTCACGGTTCTTGCGTTGAATTTCAGAACGAGCAGTGTCTAGTAGATTTTGAAAATTAATTTCTATTTTTTGTATTTTCTTTTTTAAAGCTTTGTTTTCATCCTCCAATTGTTTGACCGTCTTAAGAGATTTTTGGTATTTATTCTCCAAATCTTCCAACTCTTTAGATTTCTATAAAGAAAGTTTAAAATTTAATTGATGATTTTTATATTTTTTATTTTGCACCTTTTCCTCCTGCTGTTCGAATGCATCCAAGCCATAATAGAAATCGACCTCTTCCATTGCATTGCCTTTTTGAAAAGACTTCTAAAATGGAAACACTATGTTCCCTTTAAATGTGTTATTATCGTTATTAATTTAGTCAGAGAAATAGATTCAAAGGCTAACGCAGGCACTAGGATCTAATCTTATAAAAGCGTTTTCATATAAATATTCGCTGAAGGCATTAACACAGAAAAAGGGATGCCAAATCTCATTAAGAAAATTACAGATATGTTAACGCGTTTGCGCTATATTTGCATCCGAGAGGTTTTTCTGTAAAGCTTTGTAAACCAATATTTTGTTATATGCGTTTTGGGTGTTTAGAGTAAAAGCATGTGTATGTTGTTGCTGTAAACAGTTGTAAACATTTTGTTAATATAGCGAAATTCGGGATCGAAACTATATAAAATGTCTTTAAACAGTCTTAAACAGTTTTAAATAGTTGTAAATATACTGATATACTGATATACTGATAAATTACTGATACTGAGAAGGTCATACGCTATTTGATGCTATAAAGTATCGTGTATGGTTGTTGCCGTAAATTCAGTTCTATGTGAACTTTCTATTTACTAACGAAAATATATAGCTTTTGTACTATAAATTAAATTAATTTAAATTAAATTAGTTTTACAACAGGGAATTTACATAGCATATTTTTACTTGGTGAAAAGGCTTGACAGTCTACTTGGCACACTTGGATAGGTAGAATTACTCGATATGATAAGAAATTTCTTTTGGAAACCAAAAGGATATAAATAAAGTGAAATCAGTCAATTCAATTTTTTTTTTTCCCACCTTTTTCTAAACTACTAACTTTCTCAAAGTTTTCATTTTAATTTAAGTTTCAAAAGAAATTTAGAGGGAATAGCAGAGATTTTACAATCTTCTCGATCTGGCTTCTTTTTAATATGAAAAATTTGTTGCGGCATGATATATTAATGTGGATATGTTTTTTGGCCTCTGTCAAACACCAAGGAACACAGCTGACAAGAAATTTCAATTTTCAACTAAGATTATCATGTCATGAAGACATATAAGCCCTTACAGTCAATTTATGAACCTACTCTCTTTTACGATTTTTTGCTCTCACACCCATCAATTCCTTCAAATAACTTTTTATACTCATATTACATTTTACACATCGGAATTTGCTCCTCGCTCTTCGGTTCTATTCTACTTGACGGACGAGTAATATGGAATTTTAATAAAAACTATAAAAAAAAAAACGTGGCGGACGTACAGCACCTAAAATTACGAATAAAAAACTTTAATCAAATAATCATTAAAATAAATAAATAATAATGTTATATACCAAATCTAACCCCAACTTTGCTAAGGCGTCAACAAAAAACTCTATGTTCACATTGGGGCTTTTTTACACATCCCAGCGAATTTTGGATATTAAATTGCTGAATAACAGAAAAAGAAGAAGATCATTTTGAATTTGAACTTTCTTTACCCATCTTAGCAAACATCTGTTGTTGATTTGATGAGATTTTGAGAAGAGGGAGAATACAATAAAGAATGTCTTCATATATCTGCAATCAAGTTAAGCGGTAATTTTGTTAAATTTCGGAGAAAAATCTCATAGCCATATTACACATTTCTTCTCAGTGTAGTGAAGTCTTTGCTTATGATTCGCGGAATTCAAGAAGAAGGGGAGTAAATAGACTTTTATCAAATAGGAACATAACAAAAGCGGTGAGTTGTGTGTCAGATAGCGTTTTGGTGGACTTATGAACATTGATTTGTTCATGCGAAAATTTTTATATTATTCTATAATAATATTTCAGGCACTTAAAAGAGCGCCAAAATTAATTTCGAAAATTCTGCAACAGTTTTTATACTTTATCTTCTTGATACAGCTAATAACAATAATAATTAGAAAAGTTGTCAAAGTTTTTGTGAAACATTGGAAAAAAAATTAACACGAACTGAAAATTCATGGATCCCACTATTTCTATATCAAAAGTAAGAGTACTTCTTAAGGAAAATCTCATTGTAATTATTAAAATTCATTTTTAGGGTTGTTTTGTGTTTAAAAATGGTGCCACCAAAGCTGACGCGAAACACAGGTCCAGAAACCATAAAACGTCTGGCAAAAGTTCCAATTTTTACAGTAAAGAATTAGCCAAACAACCGTTTTATAGAGTTTATTCAGACACTTGGCAAAAATTACAGTCAAATATACTACAAATGCAAGCGACGAGTAATGTGCGCATTTTAGAAGATTTACTTAATTATGTGATTAAGGAAACTCAAGGAAAGAGGAGAAAGTATACTAACGAGATCTTGCCTACGGCAGCCTTGTTAACGGGCATTAATCAATCGGACCATTTGCAACAATTTAATACTTTGTCTAAACGTTTAAAAAAAAAAATTTCTGTTGATGTTTGTGTTCTGCAATCGCGTGACTGCTCGTCCATTAAAACGGCCATAGAGTCTATGGTTTACAATTTTCTGGAATCTGAACACAATAAACAGGAAAATTCAAATGGCAAACGCTTAAGACGATCTCAGTGCACTATCCGACAGTTGAAGAAGTGGTATCATGCTAATTGGTCAAGCTCTAATGACACTAATGATTTGGAAGAGTCGAACGTAGATGAAGTCAAGAAAAACCACATAAAGGCATTTGAAAATCATACGCTTCTAGTTATACTGCCTGATTTCGAATGTTTTCCCCCAGCCGTCTTACAAGATTTAATTTTAATATTAAGCTCTCATTGCGTTGAGTTATCCATATTCTTGGTATTGGGCATAGCAACTTCAATTAATGCTATACACGGTACCCTTCCCTATCATGTGACAAGCAAGATGAAATTGCGAGTCTTTGAAACGCAAACAGCACCCGTTATTCTGAACGAAGTAAGTGGCAAACGAGGGAAAATTTATTATTTCTAAACATTATAAATAAATATTTCATTTAAGATTTTAGAGAAAGTTATACTTTCAACAGAGTACGGGTTTCATTTGTCCGGTAAAGTCTTCAAATTTCTTACTAATATTTTTCTGTACTATGATTTCTCTATCAATGGCTTCATACAGGCTTTTAAGGTATTTTTAATTATTTTGAAAAATTTAAGAAATTAAAAAATTTTCTTTTTCATTTAGTATTGCCTATTAGAACATTACTTTCAGGGCAATGCGTATTCTCTGTGCACTAACTATTCTGCATCTTTGAGTCATGTAAAGCAACTGAACCATGAGGACTTGGAATGCGTACGTAAGCAGTTGTCGTTTCGTGCTTATGTGGAAGGCCTGCCTCCTGAGAGTATCATAGCGGTACTAACTGATGATGAGCATTTGAGGAAACAATTACCTGCTCTTCTAAAGGACTGTCACCTTTATTTCATAATTAGGCGGGTCTTTCTGGAATTTCTCACCGTTTTAGTGGAAGACTTACCTAACTGCCCTTTAGGTAAATATCGTCGCGAACTATACGCCTTTTCCTTGAGTAGGAACCTATCCTCTCAAAGCGAATTCAAGGAATCGTGGCAACTTTTGCAATTTTTATCTAGAGAAGAACTAATTAGTAAAATAACTAAGGCACTATCAATAACTCGGAATTTTTTGGAAAATTCGGCACAAATTCATATGAAATTATTTCAATATTACGCTGCTGTCATTCAAGAGAAACTAGACGGAGTTCAACGATTACTTAATAGCATAAGCGAGGCCAAGATGTTCGCATGCAATATTGTTCCTGAACAAAAATCTCCAAAAAATTTAAAACAATTTACTTCCCGAGAAGAACTCAAAACGGAATTATTAAAAATGTCGAAGGAAGAAAAGCCTGTTTCAGAATACACCAAACTAGTTCAAGAACTCTTGTCTTACATTGAGGAACAGATAATTGACGAGCATTTAGGTCTATTAGAGCGTGCTCCAGCTTTGCATGAACTCTTTATTTTCTCGGATATTAACTCTGTAAGACGTAATATTATTGGTGCTCCTCGGGCGTCTCTACATATGGCGCTAAATAATCCACACATTTATTTACAATGCAGTTGCTGTAGTTTACAAGAAAATGCACAATTATTGCCTACATTACCTGATATATCCATTGCTTATAAGTTACACTTGGAATGTGGTCATTTGATTAATTTATATGACTGGTTGCAAGCGTTCCGTTCGGTTGTCGACTTTAATGAAGATGATCAAGAGGAAATAGACACGCAAATACAGTAAGTTTTGCAAAATATTTACTCAGGACAAAAGTCACCAGTGTTTTTTTAAATCTTTTAGAGCCCGCTTTACTCGATCTGTAGCGGAATTACAGTATTTGGGGTACATTAAAATGTCAAAACGGAAGACTGATCATGCTACACGTTTGACTTGGTAGTTCTTCAGAGGTCAGCATTTTCGTTGTCCAGCGTAAATTTATTTACTAAAAAAATAAAAAAGTTTTGCTCAATGTTACTCCATCAACAAAATTTCATGCTCCTCCTGCACAGCCACTTCATTTAGTTCGTTGTGTTCATTAGTGACAGCGTAGGCCTCGATGCACTTAGGAGTAATATGACGATTTATGTAATTTAGACACGAATACTAAAGTAAAGCTTGTGGCTGCAGAACATCTGAAGATAAAGTACTTTGATATCCCAAAATTAGTTGCTTTAACACGTTAAGGACGCCGTGTACCACCGGTGAATTATGATCAAAATACCTTCCACTGTAATACTGTAATAATCAAAAATTAGTCAACTGCTACTCAAGTGCTAGAAGTGCAGGCACTAAATTAAGGCTTCTGCTTGCCGAGAAATGTAAATCGCGTGGTTCTTGCATGGTTCTTGTAAGTGATGAAAACCAAACTGATTCGCGTAACCGGGTTGACCTGAAAGTAGTTTTCCAGAGAGAGTCAAATCTGATTTCCAGGCTGTCTAGTGATACATCGCTAGAGGACCTTATTTCTGTAAACCCTCCTGATATCTCCGATTGCGATTAAATCCTCATGCTACATTAGTCATCTTTACCAAATCTGTTAATGCGGAATTCATCTGTCATCAGTCGTCATCATAAATGATATAAAGATAAAGTGTCATGAAATACAAAGTGTGCCATGATGTAAAGAAAGTAACTTAAAAAACGGAATTACCTCCGTTTCCTACCTAACTCTCCCAGCAACTGTCCAGATTTTAAGTCGAAATTTCTAAAATAGTTTGCAACACTAATGTAATAGACAAACTCTTAACAGATAACGTGGTGGTGGAAGACAAGTAACAATGGAAAAATATTAGTTCAAAGCACGAGCCTTTATTTGAAATTATCTTCCAACTTTGCTTTACTGGCTCTGACTGGAACGACAGCAATTGAATTTTTTTAATTATCATCTCAGTCTTTAGCAGAACCATAGATTGCGAGAATTTCTCAGGCAACCATACGTACGTATTAAGAGCTTCGTTCGTGCGAATCTTATATTTTTGGTTCATTCGAAATATTTACCTGATGAGTACAAATAAATAAATTATACACAACGAATCTTCACCTATATGTATCAGAGATAAGTTTCAAATGGCGTTTATTAGGAAAGATGCATCTTCATTTTTGATAATTCCCGTTTATTTTTTGACGGTATTAGAATGGCTAATTATCCAGCTGTTTCGAATATTGTTTATTATCAAGTGTGAAAAGTTGTTTGGCGACCTAATTACCGATTCGTATCATTACTTGCCGGTGTCGCTCGATTTACTTTAGATCGTGAGCGCTTCAAGCGTAATCTACATTTTGACCTAAAAGACCCAGGGTGTTTTGTATCTCTTTAGGTGCTATGGAATTTTGAATTATGTGAGAGTATGGAATTTGGAAGTCACGTTATCCGATTCTGTTTTTCTGATGTTTATGTTTGCACATGTACTTGGTGTATAAAAATTTTGTTGTCAATAATTATACCTATGTACGCAATAGCGATTACTAAAGCTCAAGTTCTTGAAAAGAAGAATAAAAATATTTTTATTTTATCTTTGTTTTACAGAAAGTAATAACAAATCAATAATAACTTATTATAAATTTTTTGTAACGGGAATTTAATTTTATTATAAACCAGTTAACGACCGGTACAGTTTTATTGACATTTCAAAATAACTTTATTAAGTGTTTGCAATACATACAAAATTTTCCTGGGGGATCTGACTATATATCTAAACACGCAAGATCAGTGTAAAGGCAAGTTCAACTTAGATGCCATCGGATTTACACCGTATCTCTTTTACTTTTATAAGCTCAGAAATTTCCCTCGAAGAATTTTTAGTGAGGTTAAGCTCCAAAGTCAGCCCGTCAACACATTCACCCATTGGCCCATACGATGCCACACGAAACTGACGATTTCCCTTTTACAATTCTTGAAGGGCCATTTTTTTTATGACCAGCCACTCAAGAGATTTCTCCGACGGTGGGGATCTACAACCACTATAGATAAGCGTAAAGTAAAGAGGCGAGTAATATCTGCATATATTCAAGTTGAAAGTCAAAACGTCAGAAACGATTGAAAAGACTACTTCTGCTTAGTTGTCACTTCAAATATGGTCAGTGCGGCTGAAGAACGATGAATGGCGATAGTGTATCATGCGATATATGGGCATCTGCAAGGGCATCTGCGTGACGGAAGGCTCAGATCAAAATAGTTCTAAATATGGTGTCTTGTTTGCCTTACGATAAATAAACATAAAACCCCAAAAAAGTGCAAAAAATAAAATTTAATCATTTGTAACTTTGTGAGGGTATGGCAGATTGGTTCCATTTACTATTACGATTAAGCGCGCGTAAGTGTACGTATACTACTGGCGAAGAGTACAATATACAAAGTATGTTGTAAAAAAATTAACGCCTTTCGCGGTGAGAAAAAAAGGGATTTAATTATGAAATTAGGTTTTTTTAATGGGCTTCGGCAGCTTTTAAAACATATCTAATCAGTATCCTTGAATATTGTTTTAACTCGATTTGAGCGTTGAATACTTTCAGTGTTTGTACTGTAACTTTGCATTAGAGTTTGTAGCAATAACTTAGTTCATTTCCTTTCGCGATTCATTAAGAAGTACAAATGCTGTCCATGAAGCGCTTGGTAGGTTCCTCCGCGGGTACCCAATACGGTGGCGTCCTTTGACGGCGCCGACTTACGAACAATGGAAGTAGGCTTAGCTCGGAATTAAACCGTGCAGTGACTGAGTAACACATCTTTTCGGTCCGTCAGGAATGGTCTGAAAAGACTTGAAGGGGGGTCGGTCCGTACGTCTTATACAGCATACCTATGGTATGCGGAAGAGCTGGGTTATAAGCGGACAGTTGAGACCATTGAGAAACAAACTAAACGTGAACACAGAATAGAGGACAGTATCTGTTTACAGATCGTATCTGAGGAAAGTATCTGTGTTGGGTTTGAGGAGAGCATGTTAGATAAAGCTATACCCATCATAAATGATATATGGGTTGCGACGCTGAAACTAGAACGAACGAGACTAGTGAGCCGAGGAGCTACCCCGATAGAGGTGACATCTATCCCGTTGCGGAGGACTTGTACCCCGACAGAGATGACATCTACCCCGTTGCGGAGGACGGCTACCCCGATAGAGATGACAGCTGCCCCGTTGCACAGGACGCCTATCGCGATATATAGGACTTAAAGCAATGTTCAATATTAACCGTCGGAAGCTGCGATTTTACTACTAGGTACGAAGTTCTCCAAATAAAATTATGAAGGAAGCAGTCAATTTGACCTATTTAGTAATTTATGGTTTAGCAACTGCGTAAGCAGTGAAAGGGTTTACTTTACGATGTAAACTTCATTGGAAGTAAAACAACACATAGAGGGGATCTTTCTACGCACTACACCACTTGGTTGTATGTGCAATGGTATATTAAGTATGTAAGGATGTATCCAACATCCAGAAGGACCCACATTATATTATGATGACCAATTTAGAGTCACTTTCCAAATCAGTCTAATCTTGTCCGTCCGTCTAGTTTCTTATGTTCAGCTTATAAGTCAAAATTTTGAAGATGTTTTGATGAAATTGGTAATGCTCTTTTGGAACTACTCTACGTTGCAGATAGGATTTGTGTCGATCTTATGTTTATAGCATGACAGCCGCAGTTTATCCATATTCTCCTAAGTAGTAAAGTAAACTTTTCATAACTAATGGCAAGGCAAGGACAGCTCTTGAATTTCTTACTTCCTGCTACTGTTGTATTTCTTCGAAAAATATCGAAACGGGAGATGATGCTATTATTTGTCAATTACATATAATTTCAACTAATAAATATTTTTATTTTTGCTGATTTTTAGTTTCTTTTTACATAATTTAAAAAAATTTAATAACATATGAATTCAGTTCATAGATGATTGCTTTCGCGTTTCTTCTTATTGTTGTATGTACGTTTGTAGTGCAAATGGTATAAAAATATTTTAAATACAAAATGTGAAGTCTTTTTTAAATCTTTATTTTTATTGGGATTTTTTTTTTTTTATAAAATCTATATATTCTTGTTCTTCGTTTATCCTTCAATATATGTTTTCAAGGTTACTAAAAAGGAGCTGAGTTTTGGTGGCAGGCATCTAAGTGTTGAGTTTTATCATTTATTCTATTTTCTTATTACTAAAAAATAAAAATTTTAACATAGAACTGATATGATCGTAAGGTTTGGAAAAGGAAATTTTTTTCTTGTACGTAGATAAAGTTTTTTTTTTTTTTTGTAAAGCTTTCGATTTTCGATTTGATTTTTTAAAAAGTTACTTAGAAAAACAATTCAAATTTAAATTTGGACAAAATAAAATGGAATTCATTTAAGTTCTTACAAGCTTCTGCAAAAACAATTTATTGTGGAGAGAAATTGATCACCACATACGAAGAAAAAAAAAAAAAACGAAACCAACTATTTTCAAAGAAATCTCCATCAAAAATAACGTGATTCTTAGCGGTCTCACTCGTAAATACAATTTGTTTTTTTTTTACATCCTTCAGCTTCCCCAATACTTTCAAACTCATTAAATTTTGATTAAGTTATTATTGATATTCTGTTGACGTTTGCGTTTTGCGTTCATCGCATCAACAATAGGTTGTCGTTTGGCATTGTATTTCTTATTCAGTTCTTCAATTTCCTTTTCCATTTCCGAGTCAATGTTGTTCAGACGTTGATTCAAATCGTCAAAGGTGAGAAATTTTAAAAATTCAAATTCACCGTCAACGTAGGCATGTGACTGTGAGTGCAAATGGTGATGGGGATGATGGTGGTGGTGTGGGGCTTGAGGCGTTTGCTGTTGCTGCTGCTGCTGCTGTTGCGGATAAGCCGGCGGTTGGCGCAGATGAGTTTGCTGTTGTTGTTGTTGATTTAAAGCTAGTAAATGTTGATCACTCATATTATAACCGAAGTAGGCAGCTGCGGCAGCTACCTGTTGTTGCTGCTGTTGCAGCTGCTGCTGTATGTGCTGTTGATGCTGTTGCAAACCGTATTGATTAATGGCAGAAATTTGCTGAAAATGCATTTCCATATTACTCTCCCAATTGCTATCATTTGAATTGGTATTTGTTAACGGTGGATGTTGCGGTGGCTGAGGACGATTAAGATTATTGTGATTATTAATTTGAGCCTGTTGGACAGCCACTTGTGTGTTAACGGCTGCTGCTGCTAAGGCAGCCACATGGGCTGCTGCAGGTGAGTACTCCGATGTCGTAGACTTATCTGCAGCATCAGAACGCATGTCAGGATTTTTACGTTCAAAATGATCAAGAAATTGGGGACGATAACGGGGTTTGTTAAAATCGCTGCGTTTTGCAGTAGACGAATCATCTGAATCTGAATTAATAACCATAGTTCCTAAAGAGAGAGTTAATTTATTAAAAGTGTAAATTCAAATTTTCCTGCGTTTACCTAAATTTGATTCCAACTCAACCATGGTACCGCTGTCGATGGCTCCCACATCGCCTGCACCGCTTCCAGCTTGTATACTTTGTGGCGTATTAACAACTTGAGATGGCAAACCTTTCATTGTACCTTCATCTTCGGGATGAGCTATCATGGTGGCGTCGGAATCGGCTGAGGTTTGCTGATATTCCCCGAACTTCTCCGGCACTAAAGTACCAGGATCATCGATAAAAGTTTTTACTGTTTCCGCGGGAAACTCTTGTTCTTCTTCGTGCAATGCATCTTCCTGCTGCGTAGGTAAGTTCTTGGCTTGACTCATTCCGGCCGCCACATTGATCCCCGTTAAACCCGCAGCTCGATGAGCTCGTTGTTGCTCACGTATGGCACAAGTTTCTTCAATCATTGCTTTCAAAATACTGCGATGTTTAGCATTGCGTATGAACTCGTGTTCCAGCAGATCAGAGGCGGTGGCTCTTTCCTCGGGATTTTTAACTAAGCATAGACTTACAAAATCTATAAACTCCGTACTCCAGCGGTCAGGTTCCCGAAAAGATGGTGGCGGCTTTTGGGGTATCATAAAAATGGCTCGCATCGGATGAATATCGCCGTAGGGTGGTTTACCTTCTGCCATTTCCAAAGCTGTTATCCCTAGAGACCATATATCGGCTACACAATCGTATCCAATTTCCTCGATAACCTCTGGCGCCATCCAGAAAGGTGTGCCAATTACAGTGTTTCGCTTAGCCATTGTGTCCGTCAATTGACCAGCCACTCCAAAATCAGCTAATTTTGCATAGCCCTCCGTGTTTAACAAAATGTTACCAGCCTTAATGTCTCGATGTATTTTACGCCTCAAATGTAAATAAACAAGTCCCTTCAGTGTGTCTGATAATATAGTAGCTATTTCGTCTTCTGTCAAAGTCTTTTTTCTTAAACGCATTATATCCGACACACTGCCCGCCCCGCAATACTCCATACATATCCATAGATCGTATTGTTTGAAATATGAACCATAATAACGCACCACATACGGCGAATCGCATTGCTGCATTATCGATATTTCTTTTATTATATCATGCAAATCAGATTCGACCGGCACCAACTTAATGGCTACTATAGAACTGCTTTCTTTGTGCAAAGCTTTGTAGACAGACCCATAACTACCCTCGCCTAGTTTGCATATAATGTCAAAGACCTTTTCCGGCGGCTGTAAAAGCGACTCTTCCGATAATTTCTTCAATTCGTTTTTGGAAGACATTTAAACGCACATTCACTCATTCATATGCAAAAGCAAGCTGGCATTCATATAACAAAGTATGTGTAAATGAGATATCGATTTTGAAAGAAAAGATCCCAATTTTTTGGCACTTTATATATATATAACTCTTTACAAAATAATTTTCGCACTTCTGCCTCGTGTCTTTATAAACTATGATTTTTCTTTTTTTTTGGAACTGAAAATGAAATTTTCAATTTACAAAAAGACGAAAAAAAATCCGAGCAGAAAATTTTCTGAATTGTCAAAAAATGTTTTTTCTTTCTTTCTTTCTGATTTTGTAGTGTGGTGGAATTCACCTGCTTAGAGATAGATAGTGATTGCCATGTTTCAGTTCCACATTCTCACCAAAATGCTTAAATCCGCAATTGCGAACATGCATATACAAATAAAACATCCTCCGACATATACAGCATAACTAGTTTTCTAGTTTGGACAAATACCGTCGCCAAGTAATAAAAAACTCAGACTGATCTTAAATAAACCTGTTAGATCACTTCTCAAGATCTATCATCCCATCAACCAAATCATTTGGTCAATCCTTAGTTAGGTCTTTGCGGACGTAGATTTCATCGAACATTATTTGACATAGCCTCGCACGTTCTGATAAATGACTAATAATTGGCGGCGTGTAGGATAACTCATGTCTGATATAAAAATATTGAATAAAATATGTGAAATCTATATGTATAAGTAAATAAAACTTAAGAAATATATAAATAAAATAAGTAAATTAGATATAGATGAACATAACAAACATTTTTTTAATAATAAAGAATTGCCCCATATTTCTTGATATGAAATTAATCATTGAAACTTAATCCAATATGTGGCAAATACGAAATTAGGAATTCTTCAATTCTTCAAAATGAACGATAAAAAGGAAAAAACTTATATATGCCACATACAAATATATTATTTGGTTTTTTGCATACAAACACACTTGTATATACGCCATAGCGCATATTCACTTAAAAACACGGAATTTGCACAGTCATAGCCATACAACCCCAAGGAGAATCTGCTCTCTTTCTAGTGTACCGAAATTTACAGATTATCCCAAACCATGGCAGACGCACCACCCTTTCCTCCCTACTCCTTGTTTACTATCGTATCCGAATACATTAAAAATAAACTCATCAGTAAAAACACTTTCCAAAAATCATTAATTTGGAAGCATAATGTACGTTTATGACTTTATATTAACTCAAACAAAATACAGGTTTTTGTTTCTTAAGAAAAGTATTTTTTGACCGTCAACCCATATATGCGGTTTTTAAAGAGAGAAAAGCTTAATTATTCGTACTGTATGTAGACTTTATGGACTACTGTGGACTACTGTGTAGTCAACTACACAGTTCTCATACAGCTTACATACATACCATATATATGTGTGGATTATAGAAATGCTGTAATAAGAGCAGAGAAGTCCAATCATCTCTCCAAAACACTTTGAAAACTCTAATACTTCGTCCTGCAAAAATGCAGCATCTTCAACAACTATTTGCTGAAACACGTTTCTATGCACATCATAAAAACATTTTCTATCCGGAAATCTCGAAAAGTATTGAAAAGCATCTAAACTATTGTCTTCATAATCAAAATTTTTCGCTTTAAATATCTGCTGACAATGAATTCACAGATATATTTCACATAGTTGTTTTTGTGTATTGAAAAGAGGTTAAGTAAGCGTATTTCCTTTTGCTCTATGTGTGGTTTATGTCCGCAGCTGGACATATATTAGTTTGGGGAAAAAGAAATCCATTATTTTTATATGAACTTCAGGACTTTATTTAACATGCTTCGGATTGTCCGATTTGGGTCAAATATGCACCGTTTTGTTCTATGATTTCTTGCCATTTTAGAAGTAACTTCAAAATGCCTCTCTCATAGAAGTCCTGGCCTCTATTTGCAAAAAACTCTAGTAGTCGATTTTCACAATCCTCCCTAGATTCCAATTTTTTATCATTAAAGAAATTTTGCAATGCAAGAAAAAGATGATAATCGCTTGGTGCCAAGTCCGGACTGTATGGCGGATGCATTAAAACTTCCCAACCAATCTCCCGAAGTTTCTGGCGAGTCACTGTAGATGTGTGGGCTAGCGTTGTCATGGTGGACAACGACACCTCTCCTGTTGGCCAATTCTGGCCGTTTCTGGTCAATCGCTATCTTCAAACGGTCCAGTTGTTGGCAGTAGAGATCAGAATTTAGCGTTTGGCCATATGGAAGCAACTCATAATAAATAATCCCCTTCCAGTCCCACCAAATGCATAGCAAAACCTTCCTGGCCGTTTGAGGTGCTTCACCGCTCTTTGACCACGATCGTTTTCGCACAGGATTATCGTATGTGATCCATTTCTCATCTCCAGTCACCATCCGTTTAAGAAATGGGTTTATCTCATTACGTTTGGCCAAGGCTTCGCAGATGGAAATTCGATCCATCATGTTTTTTTCTGTTAATTGGTGTGGCACCCAAACATCGAGCTTCTTTTTGAATCCAGCTTTGTGTAAATGGTTTAAAACTGTTTTATGGTCGATTTTTAGCTCCTGGGCGATGTGACGACTGCTAACATGCCGGTCAACTTTGATCATTTCTCCGATTTTATCGACATTTTCGACGACCGGCCTACCTGTGCGAGGTGCATCTTTAACATCAAAAATTCCTGAACGGAATCTACGAAACCAAAATTGCACATAATTGGCCGTTACAGTATCGGAACCATAAACACCATTCACAATTTTAGCCGCCTGGCTTGCATTTTCGCCTTTGTCAAAGAAAAACTGTAAAATGTACCGAATTTTCTCTTTGTTCACTTCCATTTTTAACACGCTGTAACTCACAACTGAATGCACCAAACAAAAAACAGCAAAAGAATTTTTTTTACTGCGAAATGTCACCTTTCCAACGAGCATGAACATGAAATTGTTTGATCGATACTTTACGAGAAATCTATCAGTGCAGCCATCTACCGAAAAAATAATGGATTTCTTTTTCCCCAAACTAATATAAATGTAGTGGTGTATCATTAGCGATAGTGACCCCTGAAGAGCAACATTTCCCAATATCTGTTTGCAATTCGTGCGTCTTTTTTTACTACCAGATTAGACCCAAAGTAAACGGTGTTTTCTTTCTCCATTAATTTTTTCAAGATTGTTCCCTTGGTCATGCCCTTCGCTTCGATAGCAGATGTGGGAGTGGGTTAAAGCGCGTATTTGTCACGTGGCTGTTCCTGAAGTATCAGATCGTTTTAAAGTGTGTGACCAACAAATCCACTCTCGGGAATTTTAGGGCCTGCCATCGCCTCTAATTATTCGCTTCTGACGATCTTTTGAAAGCCACAGCCATCACGATACTCCCCAAAGGGACCTACCCTTCAGTCACAACTCACTATAACAATTACAAAATTCCCTTAAAAGAAAGCCCTTCTATACGTATAATGTTTGGCGTTTGGGCCCCTGACCCGCGGACTTGGAATGTAGACTAAAAAGCCTATAGCATTATTTTACGCGACCGTAGCTACTCTTTCTCTGGATCTTTCATACGATGTCAATTAACCAAATCCAAACTATCCTTTCCTGTATGTATGGCAGACAACGACTGACATAGTCTGTGTGTTCACGCTCTCCATTGCTGACTGCTTCTCAGTGGGCAGAGGCAGAAAGAATCTCGTTAATTCGATCATGTACGTCGCCAATTTCCGACGGCATACAGGGCGACTTTTCAAAAATATCATGCCTGAATACAGCATTTACATAGCGAAGAACGCATCCATCGACATCAGACAGAGAGTAGTTACATGAGCGGGCCTGAAATTCATCTTAATTCGCAAGTATCCGAGAGTAATTAATGAGCGAGTCTGAAATCCACCTCAATTCACAAGCATCTGAGAGTAATTACAAGAGCGAGTCTGAAATCCACCTCAACTCACAAGTATCTGAGAGTAATTAAATGAGCGAGTCTGAAATCCACCGGACATTTTATTTATTTATCAGAATATTCACATGCGTATACACACTTATGCACATACACAAATGCAAACACTTAGAAATGAGAAAATCGACATAATACACACCACGTTCACTACGTACATAGTAAACGGAGAAAATATACTCTATTTCTCTATACTCTTAGTTTATTGTTTTACTTTGCCAAAGACGTATCGTTTTTGAACTTGTCGGGCGTGCAATATGCTCAATTTAATTTTTTTTCAAATAAATAAATACCTCGCAGGAAACTGGAAAGTTTTAATAGGTGTATGTGCATCACAAAGGCGTTTTGAAGTTTTGGACTTTTGTTATCACATCTTAAGATGCTTTTCTAGATATTTCTAAGATATCCCTTTGGCTGCAGAATTATGTTGAAGAAATCTCACGTATTAACAGAAGACATAATTTCTCGGGAAGTGCGTGACGGTATTCACGTACACTCTCCAAAACTAATCGTGTGGACACCAGACAAAAGCCAAAATTAATTCATTTACCTGAGATGCGCGTCGTACACTGCACAACCACGTATGCAGAAAATGGTTAACATCCTATATGTGGACAAAAATTTGACTTTATGCATACACAATGGCCATGAAATTATTCAGAACTACTTACATGTCTAATAGAAATTTATGATTGTCAGCTGACTCTACAAGTACCACTGGAGGTATAATCCCACATACACAGGCGCACAGAAAAATAGGTGAATGTTGCTTTACGTATTCTTCCTGAGTTCCCTCCTATTATATTTCGTATTTTTCTTCTATTTATAAAATAGGAACATGTGGATTGAAGGAACATGTGAAGGAAGACAGGAATTATTTTCTGTTTGAAAAATCTTTGTGAAATATAAGAGCTTAAACATCTCTTTTGCTTCATGTAACTGCGTCAGTGAAGTCCGCCTCTGTCCTCCTTTCCAATCGAAATTTAACTTGCTTTTGCATTCATTTGTTTTTCATATTTTTGTTGCTTCCAATCGAATTGATTTCTTTATTTTTACTTCTCACGCCATATTTTTTTTCACGCGGATTTCCCCAATAATATGGTAACGCGGTTTGGCTTCTCCTTGTGGTTACCACTTGGGAGTTTTTAATCCGAAAAACCAAATAACGCATCACTGATGAAAGATGATAATTTGTTTGCGAGTGACCAAGATTATTAATCGATATCACTTCAAATACTCCATTACATATTAATTCATCTAAGCGGAATTAAGCGAGGTGGTACAATGGCTGTTGACAAAAAAATTGTTCAATTTTTTAGGAGCCTATGTGGTGGTTGACAAGTAATATAGAAGAAGGAGTAAAAACAACTACCAAATTTAAAATGTATTTGCCAAAGGTTATATCTCATATTACATTATTTTAACTTTTTTTTTTTTATTACATTGTACGGAATTTCAAATCATTTTATTGAGCCTTAGTTACTGGCAAGTGCAAAGAGAATTTTATTTTTTACACAACAGAATCATTCATCCCTTGCGGGCCATTTTTGTTCTTTGTCTACTCATTAATTTGCAAATATATCAGATTTGCTCGTTCTTGACATTGCTGCAGATGAATTTTCACTTTTTTAACTCCATCAATAATCAAATAAACGAATTCAGCTTTAAAAAATTACGCTACCCTCTAAGAGCCGCCACCTCTTTGGTCGGTTTGCCATTAATATTGCGTCGTTATCTTTTTCCATTTCCTGAACTGGCAATTTCCTATTGACACCTGGTATGCTTGTTTCAACAGCATTATTAATAAACTCCCCTAATTCTGGTGTTGTAGTCTCGGTTTGTCGTGTGTTTCTATTGGGTGTCTCACAAAGTTGGGGTGGCCTATAATTAAATTTTGGGTTTAATGACAATGATAAAAGCCTTTTACGACACAGCATTGGATCAGCTGCTGACAATTTGCTGCTACAACTGGGATAGTCGTACATTCTTTCTTCTTTCCTGCTTGTTAAAGATGCTTTTTTTCAATCAGCATGCTTTTTTTACAGAAAGGAAATTATTCTGAATGTCACCATCTTCACTTTGATTAAATTCATTTAGCAGGCTTACCACACGTTTTTTTCCTGTCTCGAATATGAGCACTTTCTTACCACTCGCTGTTTGAAAACCTGCAGAAACAAGCGAACTTCCCGGATCTTTATTCACCTTGCTAACATTATCTTGATGTATTTTAAAGGTCGCTTCAAAGCCTGTTTTGTTGGCTATTTGCGCACTGCTGTTTGTATTTTTCCCAAAAAAAGAGATTATATACTCGTTTTTTTATTATACAAGCAAAATCTTGCTATTCCAATTTTATTTAAGCAAAAATTATATGTAAACAATTTACTGTTTTTTCATACAATTAAATAAAGGGTTTCAAATTTATTCAAACTACCTGTAATTTATACAATTTCATATAAAATAGTATAAAAGTATATATATATATATATATAACAGTATAATAAGAAAATCATTAAATAAGAAAAAAGCATAAGAAAGCAAAAAGATACAAGAAACCAAGGATAAGAAAAATACATCCAAATGTCATTAATTAAACAAAATGCGAGAAAATAGCAAAACTAATTTAAATGAAAAAAGATATCGGGACGTTTTTGAATTCAAAAAAAGGCTTCCGTTGCTTTTACACAATGTAGTATTTATTTCTTTGGACTAGTGCCAATACGTCTTAGATGTTTAAAAGTAAAAAAAAAAGATTAAGCAGATAATCTTTTCAATTAAAATAAGGTGAAATTTAAATATGAAAAATCACAGTTTAAATGTAAGTTTTCTTTACAGTTTCTCCTCATCCACAAGGACTTTTGTCCTTTCATGTCACGTTGGGTTTACAATAAATTCAATGATTTCAGCTCTTTTATGATATAAGGTAAAGAAATTATGTGAAATTTATCTGCCTCGTATGATTTTACATCGTCACATTTTAGTATAGTTCCATTGGGTATAAGTTCCTTCAATTTTTCGACCAACATCTCGCTGCATCTTTCAGGCAGACCTATTGCAAAGTAAAATTATGTAAAACCCCAATAAAATTTATAAGGTATTCGCTTGCCTCTAATTTCGCAATCAGATGTATAGATAGGATAAGTGAATTGTAGCGGATACGGCCGTATGTTGTCAACTTCGACGCGTTCAATTCTATTGTAATCAATAAACATTATATAAGCCTCACCCGTACCATAAAGTCCTAACCAACAACCACGATACCATTCGCCATCCACGTTATACTTTGCTATGCACAATTCGTCAAGTTGCGGTGCATAACGTGTAGTGGATACGTTTTGAGCATATTTTTGTATATCTCTCTTAAATTTTTGTATTTTCACAGCGTAAGGCTTTGTAGTACAAGAAATAACACCGGTATGCATTGATGAGTTATCCATTACCACCAATTCAATATTATCACCACTCGGTAGCATTACATGCTTCAAATACTAAAGTTAGCGAATATTAATACAAGTATATGAATATATATCTCATTATTATTATTATAAAAAGGTCCTTGAAAACTTACATCTTTAAAGCAAATTTCGCTAGAGTTAAACGGTTCTCGGGGTATCGCCCAGTTTTTAATCGCTGCATTAAAATTTTGCTGCATGCTCTCGTCAATTAGCTCAACCATATAAACACCATTTTCAGTAAGATCTCTCTGTTCATATTTAAGATAAACGTTTTTATTCAGATACGAATACATGATTTTGGTTATTTCCTCGGTCATGTAACAGTTCGGTACATCCTTTAATATAACTGGTAAAGCATAACGAGGTATTCGTGTGTACTCGTCAGGTGCTTCATATAAATCTTTCAAATTCAGTGTGTCCACATTTCCATAATCAATGTAGACGACGTGAACTTCTTCATTCTCAGTATGATTTAATATCATAACGCGGTAGAATTGATCACGAAATTTACTAAGGAAAACTTGACCGCACCGCGGTTTCCCAATGGCCGTCTTTAGAGTTTCGCCCAGCTTTTGCAAGCCATTGACCGTTTTGCAAAAATTTTCATTATCATCGTAGTCTTTGGAACGTATGAAAACCACGTTACTTTTCATAATTGCTGTTATAGTTACGATAATTCCACTTCGTGGCATTTGCTTAATTAGCTCAGAGTAGTCAGATTTCTCCTGTTTTTCAACGTTTCTGTTCAATGAAGCATGACTAATAATATCAACATGCAATGGTCTCCTTTAGATTACAAAAATTACGAAATAACAATGTTCTTAATTATAGACCAGTTTCGCGGTAATTGTGTACATAACTTACTCACCTAGGATTTCCGCAAATATAGCGATGCTTTTCCCAATCTCTTTTTTGGCATTCTACGCTACAGTAGTAACCCAATATATTGTCATAACCGCGACAGCGCCTGCAAACTAAACGACACTCATGTCTGCACAAAGTACATTCGATATTTTTGAACCCTATTTTCTTTCGAGTAAATTCTTCGTTAGTGTGCGTCCCACCCTCATCAGAATTTTTCACTTTATCGGGCACGCTGTAGGAACACAGTATTATATTAATACAGCGCATAAAAAAATATAAAAATATATTCCGCTTGTCAGTTGGCTGATCGGGATAATTTTGGTTTGATGTAAAATGTTTTAAAAAAATGTGGTATTAATGTTTGCAGAACACATCAATTACGGCCATCAAGAATTAGGATTCCTTTCCAACCTTCATGTGTTCATGTGTTTGCCAATACTTCTTTAACAGACCGACATCGCCAAATCGTCTTGTTAGAACTTAGTATCCTAACTCGAATCTTATATAATCACTAAATAATTTACGTTAAAAAATCACGAAGGGCTAATACACTTTCAAGCTAACTGCCACACGTCTCCTTGCAACATTCAAAGTTTGTAGTTGAATCATTTAAACAATTTTCGAAAGAGAAAGGCTAATATTAAATAAAAAAATTAATAGAAGGAAATCAAAGAGTTCTTACGTTATGTGTCCTCCTTCAGAATCAATGCATGCGTTTGTATTACCCTTATTCTTAAGATCAAAAGTATGTATATCATCATTAAAAATGAATCCATTTTGAAAATTGCGGTCTAAAGCTTGTTGTGCACCAGCATAAAGATGGGGAGACAATTTTTCTGAAGAAAGGCAAGTACGATTCTCTTGTTGAGTACTTTGAGTGGCTAGGTCTGGAGGTATTGGAGCACTGGCAGTCTTTTTCTTCTTACCGACGATCACCTGGAAACCCAACGTATTGTTTTCCAGACTTTGACAAACCGTTTCCGCATCTCTGAATTTAGTAATAAGAGCTTAGCGTATTTTTCATATGCTTTTTTTAATTTTAATTCAAAATCAAATTAATTGATAAAAAAGTACTTACACTACTGTCGCGAAATCTACAAAATAGCAGCCACTTTTATTATCATGTCTGACAGCTTTTACGAGACCATTTTTTGAACAAATGCTCCATAAAGTCTGCTTTGTCGTTCCTTTAGGCATATTTTTAAATACCAAATAAGGAAAATGGTGATCTTTTTTATTAGCATTCGGCTTGGATTGAGAACCATCATCTAAATTGCCACCAGTTACTGAAATATATTGATTAAATTCGGCATTCTTGAAATTCATCTCCATTACATCCTTTTTAAATATATCTAGGTTTTGGGTATTTAATATTATTATTACTATATTAGCCACACTATCCTTTCCACTATTTATATTTAACAAGTCCAAAAATGCAATACAGAAAGTTGTACGGCGTTAGAAACCTTCGTAATGCAATAGATTCTTTATATCTCTGTAAGCTCTTTCCACTGTTCTTTGTCTGCAGTACACATTTTATTGAACAGATTCTTCTTGTAACACCTTGTTATATATCCTGGGGATAATTATGTGTCTGAAAGTTAAATTCCGTTGATAAACGTTTTTGTCCCAATCGCGTAAGAAAAAATAGAAAAGAGAGAGAAAAAAAGAGAGAAAAAAAGAGAAAAGAGATTTGTTTACATTCAGTTGTGGACGTCAAAATGCGAAAAATAACAGTCGGCTATCTAATAAATAAACAAATCAACTATTAATGGATGAATATACATATTTTTTTTAATTATTAATATTAATTTATTTAATTATTACTTTCAAACTTAACATAATTATGAAATGCATTAACTAACGATAAAGAACTAATAAAAAAATTTGTAGCGCCAAAAATTTTGAATTATGTGAGAGTATGCAATTTTGAATTATGTGAAATTATTGCATTTTTTATGAATGGTTAAAAGGAATCGATTATCATTGCATTATTTCTTATTTATTCTTCCAACCATAATATTAAAATACAAAAATATTATCAGAAATGATTATTAATATTACAATTACGTGCGCACAATTTTTCACTTTACTGAAGGAAATCTAATTACTATCATCACCAATTTCCTTGGTGGTTTTTCTCACAAAATCACACAACAAAGCTATTTTGACTGGTAATTTCATTCCATGCACTCGTTTGATATTACTTTCAAGTAGGACCTAAGTCTTTTGCGACATATCGCATGCTTGCATTCATTTTGTTTCAAAGCGGCGTTAAAGAACGCACCCAAATCAGAAGAGAAAGAAACGAAAAAGAAGAAGTAAAAATGAAAAATGGTACACTTTAATTGCTTACAGAAAACAACATCAAAAAAATTTTCTAATCATTTCGATTTATGTTTTGTTTCTAACATTTGTTTATTTGTTTATGGAGAGAACCATTGGATGGAACTTAATTTATGGAGAGAACCATTGTGTGGAATTTCTTTTTTAATGTGTAAGAGAAGGATTTTAGACACAAACCGAGCAGCAATAGAAACAAATGGAAACGAACACTTTGAAATTCAACATGTCAGAGACAACAAAATGATAAGATTATATATCGTTTAAAATTATAGGGGGAATTTCAGGAACTTTTAATTAACATCTATTTGACTGAATGCTCTTTCATTCTCCCTATTTGTAGGGGCAAATATTACTTGTAAGTTGTATTAAACGATTACAAACCAAGCGCTTTTTGCTTTCCTGTAATTTATATATATATATTTATATATGTATATAGTCGGAAACGAGAAAAAGATTGATTATAGTTATTTAAAGGCCTTTTCATATAAAAAAAAAAACGTCAAATAGCTTTGGTACATTAAATAATTTTTTTGCAGTCCGAAACTTAGAAAGAATTAAAACGACAGCAGTTCTAGTATTAATTTCGCTTATTATTTTTATTATCCAGAAAGCATCAAATGTATTTGTTGATATATAGAAATCTAATCTTTCATTGAATGTAAATTGCACAACTTTAGCTTATGCACTTTTAAAAGAAATTGTAAGCAAGCGAAAGTTTAAAAAAAGATTTCAACTACAAAATATAAAACATATGTAAACAAATTATATTCGGCCGCGACCGAATCTTTTTATACCCATCATCGTTATCTATCGTGTACCATTGCCGAATTATGCTCTCGCAAGTTGTTTTATTTAAATTTTAATTGATTATACTGGTAGGAGAAAACGCCTTATGTTGTAGAATTAACGTATTTTTGGATGCATAATATATCTTTATGTAAGGAATGTACAGAATAATTTACAGCATTTGTTATTGTTTATGTCAAAAAATGTCAGAACTTTGTCTAGGCCTATTATTTCCATTTTTGTAACGGAGCTGCAGGAGCACCCACAGAATATACCTGCATACTTTATCGTTGCATGCATTCATTGCTTTCTTAGACTCGTCGTTTTTTTTTTTTTTTGGATAAAGCAAAGCATGAATTCGCAAATATATCAATTATTGTTCTTGCAAGCAGGTTGGTGTGGAAAATGGAAAAAAACGGTCAAAGAACACGGCCGCACTACGACATTGGTGGGTTGGTGTATAGGTTTCTTTGGTGTGAGTTTTTTTGGCACTTCTTTTTTCTTCTGTTTCTTGTTGGATGGTACACAAGTTTCTAGAAAAGTTCTTTTCATCTCACAAAGATTTGAATTATCAAATTTTTCCCTCCACCATATTTATCAAAAACATTTCGTAGCACTCATCAATAAAATAAAAGGATAACATTTGGCACAACATCTATTAGAGATTACTAAAAAAAAACCTACACCAAAAAAACTTACACCGAAAAACCTACACATCGACACACCAATATCGTAGTGCGACCGTATTCTTTGACTGATTTTTTTCATTTTCCACACAAACTTGCATGCAAGAACTTGCAATGTTTTTGCGGAATTTGAAGCCGATAGTTTAATTTCTGTGAGAAGGAGATTGCTTACCACAGACATTAAGTAAAAAGAAAGATATAAGATATAGATAAGAACATATATATATATATATATATGCAAGAAATATATAAGATATAGATAAGAACATATATGTATATGCATACAGGGCCTCTAAAGATTACATCTGGGTGTTGCAAACTTTTTGATTTTTTTCGCATTTAGGTGATAGGTATAAACAAATTTATTAATACCATTTTCACGTGATTCCTACCCAATAGTTTCTTTAAATATTTTCCTTGACGGAATTTGGTAAAACTGATGCATCCACAGATTGCGAGCCGTTATTAAGATTCGTTTCTGGCTTGCAGCTTATTGATGGGTCACTAGTTTCCGTTAACAACAAATTTGCATCTGTTGCTATAGGTTTTAAAAATTGCTGTTCTTGTTCTTGCTTCTGTTGTTGCGGACTTTTTACATAATTAATAGGAATTATACCTACATTTTGACCATCTGTGGTTGCTAAAGCCCAACCTGTGTTTAAAAGACCCAGGGTGTTTTGTATCTCTTTAGGTGCTATAGTCATGCGCTGGCCTGCGTGTATAGTTAGCTCGTTAGAATTTCTTGATTGAAAATCGTATAGAGCAGAAGTTTCTACAGGTCGTATCCATTTGGTGGGCTGACATGCTGAAATTAGGTAACCTTATATGAGGACGTGGGATTACAAAATTAATTTCTATACCTTCTTCATGTGCCGTATTGGAAATAGTGCCTAGCATTTTCATAATTAAATAAGGAGCGGTAAAAATAAAACTAATGAATGCTAAGACAGGCCAGGGTGATTGACTTTTTCTAGGTAGTTTTGGAGCGCCTTGTTGAGAGGAAGTTTCATTTATGGCTTCAGTATAAGCTTTTCTAAATGACTCCGACGAAGATTCCAAATTAGAAATGCGCAACCAATATAAAAGCCTGAAATGTAGAGCTTTCGATATATGCGTTTTTTGTTAGTCAAAATATTTCGTTTACTTTCGATATATCCAATTTAAAGTACGAAATATAGCAAATGTATGCCAAAATTGGGAGAAAACTCCGCGCAGACGCCCAAAATTTGCTGCAACTCCTAGAATCGCTCTAAACGAACTGGTTATGGCAAAAAATGTTGAGTCCAACATAGAAGCTATGTTGCCTACAGCCATTACTAGTGATTCTATACTTTGAAAAGCTGGGCGTGAAGTAGCTTCAGCTAATTGTATAAAGCGCGCCTCCGGGTCTAAAGGATTCGTATTACCAAAACGGTTATAACCAAATCCATAACTTCCGAAGTTATTGCCGTATCCATAGCCTCCAAAACCTCCATTTGTAAATGCACCATTACACCAATTGTTATTATGTCCAAATCCATAACCGCTGCCATAGTTATGTTGTAAAGTAGGTGCTAAAGGTAAGGGCGGAGGTACTGCTCTCACATTACCAGCTGGAGTCCTTAAAAATGAGTGCATTCCGCCGTTGACGCCACCTCCCAACCAGGATGGGGGCAACAGGTTTGCTTCATTTATTATGGGGCTGCGGAAGTTGCTTATACCACTGTCAGTCATTATACCATTTACCACTCTTTACTTTTATTACTCTGTTTGAACTTTGTTCGAGAGATCGCAAATTGCGTTCTTAATTTATGAATTTTTGCTTTGAAATTTTATATATCTCGTAGATTTGCATACGTTTAAAAGGCAATCAGCACTAAATATTTTACTTGATCTAATTTTTCATATGCATTTTAAGCTTTGTAAGTTAATAAAGTTTACTGGCTAATTTTCTCTGCTAAAGAATATTTAATTGATTAACAGCTGTTTTCTTTTCTTTTCAAGGGTTTTTCTATATATTTCCTCTTAGTAATTTTTGTAGATAGAGCTGCCAGCCTTCATATCAAAAGAAAGCAGTATATTAGCAAACAAATGTATTCAAATATTTAATTTTATTATATGTAAACAAAAATTAAAATAACTTTGTAAAGCCTGATGATATTGTGAGAGTATGAAAAATGAAATTCTTCTTGGAATGCATGGACGATTTACGCTCGACAGCCAAAAATGAGATAGTAATAATAACAATAATAATAATATACAAAAAGGAAGAAATAAAATAAGAACCAAATTGAAATGGTCACTCTGTACACGGCTGCTTTTGTCCTTGCGTATATAAACATTTTTCTTAAAAAAATAATCGCCGTAAAAAGAGAAAATAAAGTGAGAAGCATTTAATCAATGGACAGGGAGTTATATTCCATCAGAGAATGGGCGCCTTTAACGGATATTTTGGATCGCATCAACCGCGAATTGTTTCTAACCGATTTAAATATTACTTGCTTTGATGCTTTGGAAAAGTTCTTAGCTCTTGGCAGTGACGCTGGTAAAGTCTACTGGTACAACCGGACTTCCGGACAAGTACAAAAACTTAAATCAGATGTATGTTTAAAAAAAGAAAGAAATGCCTTCTCATTAAATAAGAACATTAAACAAGGAGTGCTTGACTGTGACTCATATTAATTTTCTCTAGAGTACCCATCCCATAAAATATGTAAAAGTAGTAGATTCGGTGGAGTACATGGTTGCTGCGGGAAATTCTGTTGGTCAAGTCTTTGTTTTTCAAATACCAAAAGAAGTGCCGACCGATATAAATTTAGTTGCGCCGTGTACACGTTCAAGACCCATAGAACGTTATGTCATACGCGATTTGCATCAGGATTCTATAAGTTGCTGCGAATGGTCTAAAAATGGAATGAAACTTTATTCTGGCGATCGTCAAGGGATAGTTGTTCTTACAGAATTCGACTACCATGAAGTAAGAAGCAGGAATCCTTGTGGAATCGTAAATTAATAATTAATATTTTTTAAAGCACATCAGTAAATCAGTAGAAATTCTTAATGAAGCCTACGAAATTGTACAAATGTCCGCCCATAAAGGTTATTTGCTGGTTTCGTCTTTATATCGTTCTATAGTATGCCATCGGGCAAATGGTGTCTGGGTTATTACACAAATTGGGAAAAAAGATCGTAAACAATTGATACATTGTGGAGGTACTTTTCTTAAGCAAATCCTTATTGAAAATACGAAAATTATTTGCGGCCGTCCTAACTTACGTTTTTGGCTGGCTGATATCGAAGGTAATGTAGAGAAAACGTTACTCTATCGTGAAGCCATTACGCGTAGTCCTACTTGGGAGATTCCCATGCTAAATCCGAAATCGTTAACATTGCACAAAGCACAAAGTAAAGCAGATCTTCCGGCTTCAGCTGATGTCAAAAATTTTCGTAACATTTATGCCTACGCTGGACAAGATTCCTTAATTGTTACACATGATGAGTCAGAATTGTATGTATTAAATTTAGATAGCTTGCAAGTGGAGGCTGTAGCCAAAGGTTTTCGTAAAATAATTGATTTCCGTGTATGCGGCAAGGAAATTTTTATATTAGAGGGACAAAGAACTCTCTTACGTTTAGCTCCTACGCCTGAGGAACCAAATAAAACTGGTAAGCAGCATAAATTGTAAGAAGGAAAAAACTATAAATGATTTTGTTTTTAAAGCCAGAATAATATATAATCCCACACTGCCGCCTCCAGTACCATTACTGAGCTCTACTACCAATGAATCTATTGAAGCTCCCGTTGAATATGAACCGGAAGAACAACCGCTTGTGAAAGCTGAAGAATGTTTTGAATTGCCATCGGTTGAACCCCTTACTTTCAAAATACCTATTGAGTTGGCAGTAGAATCCCCTAGAGCAGAACAAAACCGGCGACTTGAAGTGTTCAAAGAAATATCCGAGATGGATTTTGATGAACATATACTTCATCGTAGCGGCGTAACTATGAAGATTCCACATAAAAAAAAACTCAAAAATCAACAAAATTATCACAAACAACCAGCGACAGGCATTGTTGAAATCGGTCACGACATACAAGCAGACGAGCAAATGAATGGCGTTAACCGAAAGGAAGGTCTTATTTCAAAGTCTACACGAATGGAAGTCAGTTATTGCAGCAACGACGAGGAAAGGTAAGCCCGAAAATATAAACATATGAAAATAATCGAGGCATGTAGGGATACAATCAAGTGCACATACGAATCTAAACAGCTAAAAATAGTTCTTCCGCCATCCATCTCCCGGTAGGATGAAGGTTGAGTTAAAAAGACTATTTTGTAAATATGCTTTTAATTTACATAAATGTTCGTTGAAAACGGTTTTTAATCGATCTACGAGCACGGTCGCACAGAATTAAAGAGAAAGGTTGAAACATATAACATTCTAACTTGCTCGGATAATTTTATTTTTTATATTTCAGTTGCGCACTTTTTACGGATTTGAAAGAAGCGTCCACACCAGAAATACCTACGATATTAAGTCCAACGAAACATTTCATCGAAGAGGAGGCTAAATTGTTAGCTGAAACATTAGATTTACCCGTAATCAATTTGCAGCCAATTAGTGATGAGGAGCTACATTTATCAAAATGCTTGATTCCATTATCAACCCCTCACGTCTCACAATTGCCGCCTTTGGGCGCCGCTTATCCCATATTTAATCCTTTAAAGAATGCAAGCATGCAAACAACACCGCTAAAGGAAGTATATTATACGGAAGAGCAGACCATAACAGATTACAGTAGTGGCGAGCCGATTGAAGATATTTGTAATACTTTGAGAACGACTTCATTAGTAGAAAATGAAGTTCCAGACACTAACAAAGTTGAAGAAGATCAAAAGGAAATAACCACTAAAAATAAGCCGCATAATAGACCATTGAAATTTATCACTACGAAGCCGGATAGTGAATATGAGGGAAATAGTTTTTCATTGAATTTCGACCGAGTCAAAGATACACTAAGCCATCGTAAAAGTCCACCTCATACTAATTCAGACAATTCTTCCTCGAGTGAATGGGAATTTGTGGATAATAATTAATAAAAGCGCTTAAAAATTTAATTTAAATTTGAAAATTAAAAATGCAAAAAAGATTAAAACAATGGCGAGAATTAACTATTAGAGTAATGTGCTTATATTCATTCATGTGCAATCAAGAAGGCATTTTGAAAAATTCATTCTAAAAGTCAGCAAATGGCTGATGATGTATTATTTATTTATCCTTATTGTTAATATATTTATTTAGAAGAATCTATTTATCACTACGTATCAAGATGCATTTTCAAGGTGTTATTGGAAGCACGCAAATCACATTCAATCAACTGCTTAAAGTAATGAATCAAGTTTCTACTCTTTTAATAAACTTATTTTCGATTTTATTGTATCATTAAGTGCGTAAATAATTAAAAATACCTATCTATTCTAGTTAAAAAATCGTTTCTTATTTTATTATCACATTTTATTATTATTCGACTTGGATGCGGAAGAAAGCTACTCTTTTAAAATAAATAAATTTGGATATTAATCACTTAAAAAATGTTACTGCATTGTTTTTATTGTTGTACAACGTTCTTAAAGAGCCATTAAAACTTTTCGCAAGCAACTAGTTGCTTGGTAACTAGTTACTAGTAAGTGATTGATTGAGTGAATCAGCGTTACACTCATATATAGGTGCACTCATAAGGTATATATATTCTTAAGCCATCTTTGTCCGTCTGAAAGGTGTGTGCTGTTGGCATTCTCCTGGGCGCAAAGATGAAGATATCGATTTCAAATTTATTAGAAATTTATTGGAAGTTCTTGCACGCTGTTTGATATTGAAAATGGGCCAATGTGAACGCAACTCAGTTATTTCTAATAAATATTTTTGGATTTTTGTTCGTTGCTGGGAAATTATTAAATTTAAAAGGTTGACATTTTCTACATTTGCTTTGCGAGAAACTTTACTCTCTAGATCCAAAAATGGTACCAATAGGCCGTGTCCATACAAAGTTACGAGTAATTAAGTTTAATTTTGTTCACTTTTTTGAGACTTAATGCTGCTTATTTATCGTGAAGCAAACAAGACAAAACGCTTAAAACTATTTTGAAGATATATTATCTATCCAAAAATGGGTTAATTCTAAAATGAATACGGTAGACACGGCGATTACTTTTTTCTTAATAACATCTGCGATATGGGTATCAAATAAAACGCCTTGGAAAGTAGAATGCGAGAAGCTTAGTAGTGGATATGGGAGATTTGACTGCCGTCGAATATAACTAATATAAGTTAAAATTGCTTATGAAAGCCGATAGCGATGTGAAATTTATGGTATATCTTCGATACTTCCAGAAATTCAGAAAGCAAATTGTAGAGTCTTCGCAGCAATGCAATGCTTCGAGTCTTATTTAGATAAAATGTGGTCATTATTGAATAGATGACTATAATAAATGGCTCAGACTTTGTTAGATTGCATTATGGCTAATTGGGATTGATTCATTTTTTCATGAAGCTGATCATTTTCTTTTTTCAAAATTGTTCTTTTGAAGTGCCTGCCGAAACATCTATTAAACTATTATTAGCATTTATTCGAAATTTCAATTTATTAGAGAGAATTCTGAATGGAAAAAAAATGAAAACAAGTAATAAAGCTACTTATTTGACTACAAAGCGAATCGATCTTCAAATATGTATGGTATGGTATATATATATAAGATGTTGATGACCAATTTGATGAGCACACAATTTCGATGAGTTATTTAAATTCGTTCCAGAAGCGCTCTTATCCACATATAAATATATATATATATTTATATATATACATATATGTATATAGCGTAAAATATACGCATGAGAAATACACTGATCATATTCAATTGGTGAATTGGTTTTTATGAGTATGAAAAATTTTCCATGAATTCTTTATGAAACGACATTTCTATAATGACAACCTGACCTGCTTTAATAGAAATTCGCATTAACTTTACAAAAAAAAAAAAAAAAAAAAAAACTAAAAAAAAAATAAAAAAATATAATCAAATATTTATTGTAATGTGACTTAATTTATATTTTCTTGTAATTTCCGGGCTTAAATTTGTTTCACTTTAATTTGAGAAACATTGCTTTATAGTGTAATCAAACATGCAAAAGTTTCGAGTCGCTTGTTGTTTGCACGGGATAAGAAAAAACTTTATGTGTATTGTTAGTCACAGTAACGTTTTCAACACCCTTAAAATGGGATGGGGATATTCTAGTTTTCTCATTACCCATATAAACACCGAGGTTAGGCATTGCTTTTCTTGCACAGATTCGTTCATAGAGTAAGAATGGATTGCCCCGGCCTTATAGACTTTTCGAAAGACGCTAAAACTATTTGACTATAGTATTGTTAGAAACATGTAACTTTCGAAAATTTTCGATAAAGTCTTCCATCCAATACCCGACCATCGACTTGCAGCTGAACGCAAATATGGAAAAATGTGCCTATGATCGTTAGTAGTTCAGCAACATACCCGTCAATTATGAAAAAATTTTTTTTTCGTTATCGACGACTGCAGGATCTTTCTTTTTTGCTTATCTTCTTTTCGCAAAAATTGTTTTCAATAATAATTTCTAATGCCCGTAGGCGTATATTAAAAAGTTACGTATAAGCGACTTATCTCGTATCGGTTACTACCCGCCATTTATGGTGCAGTACTCATGTTTTATGGCGATTAGTGAACACAGAAATTATATTCGGGTTAGGCATAACCTGTAATATCCACTACAGTTGCTGTAATCGTTGATCAATAATTCCGAGGAATAAGTTTTTTTTTTTTTTTTTTTTTTTTTGCAAACTTCAATTTTATTTACCAACGCAATCCTCCGCAATCATTTGATGATACAATCAGTTAAATATATCGACGGCTTTTTTATAGATTGGTCATTTTTGCAGTGACCCCATCATTTGATCTAAATCTCTTCTGTGTGTAGGTAACCTTTTGAGATTTTCAATAGTAGTAGCTCCAAGCAAGATCTGGAGAGTACCTTGGGGGAGGCAGCAACTCGAATTTCAATTGCTATGATTTTTCTTTGTAGCTACATAGAGTTATGACGTACTGCATCTGTTCTATTGGATCGCAACTTTATCATGCTCAAACTTTTTATGTATATTGATGTCTGTAGGATGGCAGTTGTCTGCAGCAACTACACTTTTCGATTATCGAGAATAACTTGCAGGATATATTTGGGTTTTCTCCTCTATGTTGCAATCACTTCTGTTCTTCAAATCATCAAATAGCCGATAAATTGTCTTTTTTGAGGGAAAACCGGGCCGGGCCGGCTTACGATTTTCTTTCATAATAAAATTGCGATTTCAGTCAACACTAGACGATTTTCTTAGACTTGAGGCAATTTTATTCAATTTTGAGGCAATTTTGGAAATAAGGGTTTACTAGAATCTATTTAAAGAGTATTTAGGAAATGTGATATTTAGGTCCTATTTGGGCATCATAAATATTCCGTTATAATTGCAACGATCGAAAAGATTAACTCGATACGAAAAAAACAGTCGAGTACCATCGAGTATGAGAAAGCATAAGCATACGACTGTCGCCATAATGTCTTTCGAGCAAATATTGAGTTTGAAAATTGCATTCCCCTTTACAGGAAGTAGCGTGTCACTGGCGTTCATTAAAGCCTTGCAAAACTCTTAAAGAAAATGGTCGAAATTACATAAATTTTTTATAGACATCGTTTCAATTTTGTCATTTTTATACCCTACACCACTTGCGGTACCAGGATATATTAAGTTTGTGTGGAGGCATACAATACTCAGGCAAACCTAAAATGCAGTCACCTTTTGTGGTGTCCATGCAGCATTACTTTCAGAAGTGAACCAAGCTTTTTTTGCCCGCCTAACGTATGTCCGTCTCATATCTTAGTATTCAACCTACAGTTTGTAATTTTTGAGGTATTTTCACGAAATTTGGTATACTAGCGAACGGTAATGACAAAATTTGGTTTGGCGATGGAAATTTACATTGATAAGGTAATCGAACTTAGCGAATTTGGACCGTGTAGATCTGTTTATTTGGATACAACCAACAATACCAAAAAAAATTCTAATTGTCAATATTTTCACATTAGCAAATTCGATATCAAGTACCATCAAATCAAAAGGCAAATTCGATACGAGACCGTAAACGCTGCCGAGATCAAAATGCCTTTATTATTTCGTAATGAAAAGCTAATGGAAAATTTTTTATAAACTTGCCGCGCAAATTTTATAATGACTGTTACATGTTATCAATGACACATTATTCCCGGCATGAAGAAATTGATATATATCCATACTTGGCTGATGATCGTAAAAGAGATATAAACATAGGGGGAGGGATGATATTTCTCGTACCTGTTTTTAACTATCACGGCTACAATCATTGAAAAATAAACTGAAATACGGCCAATAAGTCAATATTATTTAGACTTAATAGAAAACATATTTCTTTCTTACAAACGCAATGGCAATGTTAACATATATTTGCTGGTGTCGGGTGTTATTATGAAATTTTTACTGGACATTATACACAATTTCATTGTGTTTCGTTAAATTAAAAATAAATATTTATGGATCAAATTGCAGTTAAATAACTCTTAGTTTATACAATGAACAAGCGAAGTTGTTTTCAAATAGATATTAAAAAGCAATTGAATAATTTTATTTTCCATTGTAGAATTTTTAGCAACAAACTGGGTAAATATTTAAATAATGCTGTATACAAATTTTTTATTAGCTTTCTATCAACACAATGGTTCCTTGAATGGTTCGAAAAACAAGAAAATTACAAATTTCAATTCGAAATTGACTGCGTTAGATGGCGGAATTCTGCCTATGTTATATAAAAACTTAGATAATTAAAAACAAGTAAAAACATTGTAGCCAGGCAAGGCCTACAATTAAATACCCTACGCCACATTGTTCATTCTTATCTTCATTATAGAACACAAAACTTATATCTTGTTTCTATATAAAGGCATAGCACAAGGTTAATTTTTACATAGAGAAACATAGAAGATCCAAAAATAGCCGTAGATGATCTAAATCTTGTAGAGTTAATTTTGTATGAAATTACTATTATGGGCCAATTTCGATCACGACATATTAAAACATAGACTTTTCTGCTTTACAAAGCGTAAATTTTCGGGAAAATTCTTATTACGATATGATCCAAAAAATAGGTCGAGATTGTCTAAATATGGTACAGTAAAGTTTGTTATTTTAGAGAACAATTATGATATAATTTTCGTCATGAAGCATTGAAAATTTTACCTTTCAGTCGTATGAACTATAGTTTTCATTATACGAGAGAGGATTCAAAAATTGCCCCAGCCGGTCCAATTTAGAATGCCGAAATACTACTACTTACCTACTTT